TGCATCCAAAAACAGTGAAATTAATAAAATCCAATATAACAATTTTAGTCAGCTAAATGTCTTCAGTCCACATGTAACACATTACATGCCATCATCGACCGGGAAATATCATATAGGTCTAACACAACGATGTCTTACCTGCTGAGATCATCGTATGGCATGACTCGACCATGTAGACGTGGTCCCTGCTGAATGTTACCTTATATTTTCTATTCATATTAAATATATTGTTCTATCTCTATCATGTATTGGTGATTGTTACAATGTAGTGAGTTGGTGTAGACGATGATGTGACTTCCACGTAAGATCTTATAGATTAGGCAGTTATATCATCACAAATCTACAATTATAGGATTTGGTCCATTATTAGAGCAGTACTGGTATCATAGGAGACCATAATTCTATAGCGTTAATGACAGGTAGTTTAAAAGATGATCGCGTCAACCATACTTGAATGTTAGGACTGTAGGATTATGGTCTACTTTGGTATTAGTGCTACTATAGTAGTAGATCTGATCCCAAAATTGTAGATTTGTCGTTATGTGACTACCTTATCCATACGATCATATGTGGATTCACATCATTCTCCACACTGACTCGTCCTATCGTGCAATCAGCAATATGATGTCCAGCACTTCTGAAGAACACATTTGAGCTGAGAAGAGAGCAATATATATATATATATCACAGTTTTCACTTGTCCGGGACCACGCGTTGGTTTGCGGAACGCTGAAACAAGTCAAAGGATTTCGGCAAATGCAAAACAGATCCCCTGATTATAATGGAGTATGCCATGTCAGGCCCACGAGATACGTCCCTATTTACATCCCTCACATTGTAGTATGCCACTGTGGTACCTAGGTTTACTCCCAATATTCTCATTGAGCCGCAGCGGATGACCCAATTGTGGACAAAATTTGGAACGTATAGAAATAATGTTCTGATAGACGCCCTACGACTTGACTGTCGTTGTTGGTTGACCCATCAAACGCTCACAAATGGAAGACTGACTTTTGCTTTTCGAAAAAGACAGAATGACGCAACAAACTTAGAGGCGAACCAGTTGATAAGTTTGATCTGGCACTGATACCACTGTTACGTAGGGCTTTTGTGGAACTGCTACCCGTTTGTTTGAACTGCCTGTATGCGATGCTGTTACTTGTCAGTTAGTGTTCTCCTCAGTAGTAGTATACTAGACTCAGATATCAAATAGTTTGAATCCATATAATCTCATCTTCCATGAAACGTTTAGAGACTTTATGGGATAGACTCACTTGTCACACACGAGATCATGCACAGTAAGAAATCCCAATGCTTCATTTTCCTTTAAAAATTATATATACAGAAGTCTGAGATTTCAACTTCCGGTGTCCATAGGAGGTTTCAGTTCAGACTTATAAATGGATTCTAGGCTGAAGAAGGATCGATTACTTTTTCTATGAAAATAAGAATTGAGAGACTATGGACTATGAGTTCCTCACATGTGAGGACCTAATCTAAGCGTGACGACATCTGGCTGTTTTCACACCGAGTCTCTGACTTCGCATTTCTAAATAACCCCTGTCATAGAGAGAGGACCCCCAACTCATACTCCTGTTTTTCTGTTGTTATTTGTTTGCAAGGAGTGATTCAAGAGTGGTGGTATACATCTCCAGTGACGTGATGGTGACTTTTACTACTCAGGATCTAGTGTCTTTATCGTTCTTGAGCATTTGAACTATATTTTGTGTCAGAACACCGTTAGGCTTTGAGGACTAGTTTGTGAGCCTCCAATCCAGAAAATTTTCGGAGTTCACCTTTTTGAACTACTTTACTCAGTGATACTTTATCTGTGGATGAACATCCTGATAGATTTCCCTTAGGTATCTGTGGTAAGTTTGATCAAATATTACGGCGCTTACGGTATTATTCACAGATTCGAACGAGTGACGCGAAGTCCCCGACGATTTCGACATCCAGTGTCTGTTTTCAGGTAGTCCATGTGACTGCTAGTCGTTGCAGTTTTCGAAGTTTGAGCTTCCGGCTTAAATCATCTCTCATTACCTTGCCGTTTCCGTCTTGAAAAATAATAGGGGGAATGGAGAGGTCTTTTGATTTTATTATGGTAAATGAGTCGTCTCCGACCTTGCCATGATTACGAATAATGTTGAGAATAAAAGTTAATCCACTTAACCTAACACTGAAAAATAATGACCAAATAGGATAAAGGCTTAATTAGATTCAAGTGGTAAAGTCTGGAAATTAAAGCAATAAAGAGTAATATAAATACTTCCATTCGATATTGTCTCCAGCAACTCCTGTCACTCATGAGACATGTAAGAATTAAATAAGTTACTTAAGATGTCACGGATATTCAGGGTTTGACAACACTTTTTCCGTGACAGTTTTATAATCTAAAGATGCCAATCCAGTCTAATCAGAAGTTGTGGACAAATCAGTTGAGAGATATATTTGTGAGGTTTACAATATGTTGAGAAGCGTTTGACCTAAACTGGTGAATAGTTGCGAGGGATGAGTAGCGCGGCGTACCCACTGGTGCAGATGCGTGATCGAGCGCCTTCTACTAGAGTGTATTCAGTAAAACTAACGAGGTCAACATCATTTCTGAGGAATCAAAGAATTATTTGTTCAGGGGATTTATTTACCTGTAAAGCTCTTAATGATAACATACGAATCAACGCAATGCCGTCGCAGAACACGACCTTAGTGAAACCAAACAAGACCAATGGTGTCAATACCGCTACACCTTAAAGTGTTTTGTAAACCGGTTGAGCTTTCTTAGGAATAGATTATGTGTTCGAAGTGCAAATTGAACTTCTTTCACTACCAGGGTTTTTGTGCAGTCGCGAAGATTACCTTCGGATCTTTTGAACCCGCTTGATGAGGACCTAATAGTTGTCTACGATAGCTTTCCAATGGATCACCGCTGTATTTGGGGAAGCTATGATATGTGATGAGATTTCATTGCTGAGTTGAATTACAACACATTCTCTGAGGTGTTGGTGTGTGGTCCATCATTACTACATAAACTGACATTTTTCTTCTTTTCCTCATCATGAGAACGTGCTTATCCATTTAAAGCCATATATTCGCTTATTATCAGACTTAATGAGTCTATTGTAAGTGGTCACTGTGAAATAAATCAACATGCTGCACATGTCAAATCTGAAACTTAACCAATTATTTGTTTACATTGGTCAATGCTGACACAAATTATTTGAACAGTAACTTGCCTTTGTGAGAACATGATGAATATAACTATATGATATGGATAGTTCTATATAATTTTAATGACCTGGCCTTTCCCCCTACACAAAGATTATGAATGAGTACAAGTCGTTTGAGAATGTCTGGTGCTGAAAGTCAGTCAAACAATTCGCCTAAATACTCTTACCAGCTGAGAGAATTGGAATGGACAAAGCTTGGTAATAAGAGAGACACGGTGCTCATTAACATCATCATCTCTGGAGAGAGATTTTAAGTGGGTATGCTGACAAGTTTTGTTGAGGGCTAAGACAGTTTTGGATACAAAAACTCTAGGTTTAAATCTTTTTAACACACGTTTAGCTAGTTTTGTTATTGTGTGGTTTCCTGGCTGCTTTCTTTGTACTTTTCGTGTGAGCACTTAGTACCGTGTTAGTTCTTAAAGTAATGAAGTAGTTAAAAATGAAAATTTCATACAGCCAGATCCTTCGATAAATTTAAACAGAGCACAAGCAACAACGTTTGCTGAATAAAGTGGATTTGTTTTATTTCATGGCCTCTTGTCAGCTGCATATAACCTAAAATTGTTCATGTTTCTAATTCCAGTTCATTTTTTATATAGCAGGGATACTCGTCCACTGTAGTCCGTGATTAAATGCTTTACATTCAAAATGATGTTTTCATTACAATGTTTTTTAGATTACAAGTAACAATTATGTATTAGCCTTGAGTACTAGGTCGAAATACAATCATGTTCACGAAATAAAAGCGGTATCGTGAATAATATATTGGTAGAATGCAACGCTAAAAAAATGAAGCAGTGATGAGAAACTAGGACCCCTATTGCTGTAATAATCAAGAATACTCTTCTCATGTTATTGAAACTTGAGAGTTTTAACTTTAGACTGTAGGCCTATAAACATTTTAATAATAGTGTAATAAAACACATTGCTAGGCTCCATATGTTATTCAGTGTTCATTACATTAATAAGTGGGTTTCATCTACCAAGAAAATAACTTAAACACTACGTTGTTATCCACTAATTCTAAGCTAAGTTCATTTGTGTTGTACCTGGAGCGATTGTTTTCTGGTGATTTCATAGGTTTATTTTCAAATTCACCAAGATAAATATATTTGTTATATCCCGATAAGAATAATGAATGGTAATTTTTGGGATCCATTTATGGACCAATACTATGAGTATATTATTAACGTGTAATTGTTATGTAACTAAACTGTTCATATTCATGTCCCTCTTATTATGAGTTTTATTTTGACCTATGAACTATTATTATACGATTTACCATTCTTGAATTATTCCCTGTCTGTTAATCACTGTCTCCCTCATTCACAGCCACTTTTGGCCAAATATTGTACAAATGTTGTTTCATAATTTATGGTACGTTGTGGTCTATTTGATTGGTATATAAACCCCGTATGTTTGAAATAAATGAATCATATTACAGAGGCCGAGATTAGTGTTCTGGACTCGACTGACTAGGCTAGGCGGAAAGCAGGACCAATCAGGACTCTAGGTTGCTCGCACGTGTTTTATGCGTCACTGGTTCGGTCGATAATTCGCTGCTCTCTGATTGGCGGTATCGTTGCGTTATACAATAAACAGGGCACACAGGTTCACAAGTTATAACAATATTCGATTGAGAGAACGTTGCTAAAATATACAAATACTACTTATGTGTTTATAAATTACTCATGAGACCTATTTCTTCATTGTTTACTCCATGGTGAATGAGCTACATAAAAATTTCAAATTAACTGACTAATAAGACAATATGAAAAGATCAATTATATGAATAAATTAATTTGAATTAGATTTGATGAACAAAAACAAAATGGAAAGCATTTTGGCGCCTTTATCAATTGCATGAATGAAGAGTACATAAGTAATTCATGTATTACTAAAATTACCTGTTCCAGTTAATTATTACAAAGAAAAAAAAACAATCAGGTAAAATAAAATGAGAGTTGAGAAGTTTACTAATCAAAGAAAAACTAAATTCATAAACTTATTGTTAATTAATTTAGTTTTGATAGAATGATACTACAAATGTTAAATTGTTATTTATACTCTTACATTTGTATATATCATTCATTATCTTTGTATTAAACTTGTAATTTTTGATAAGGATTCTCTATATAACATGATTCTGTAAAAACGGATTCTTTTGTATCTCTATACGGTATTACATCTACACCAAACCAATACATATCATCATTTTGTTGATATCTACCAGTTCGTGATGTAACCGATGATGAGTTTTGTAATATATGTCTATCACTCCAATTATCTACATTATGTAAACCAATAAATGAATCACGATATAATGTTTTTGGTATTCTTTCTTGTCTACCATCAAAACTACTCAATAATTTATCTGCTTGAATAGCGGAATAACATGCTTTTTGACTAGGTTTCATACGAGTTTTTATCTTTTCTTTAGAAAAATCAATAAAATTCGATCGATACACTGTACTAGATTCTATTGGTTCATGTTTACTAGGATCTTCTGGAAGATATACAGCAGGCGTAGGTTTCCAATTGTACCCGATTCGTTGCATAATCCCATCATTTCTTGATGGTTTAATCCATGAATGATAATTTTCTCGATAATTAGTTGAATTATCTTGCATTTTAGAATTAATGTTTGGTAATGTATTTTCCGAATAAACATCTTGGAAAATATGTTCGTTGAAGTCAGTATTATAAGTCGAATCATTTGGTAAAGGATAAATTTGTTTGTATACATCTTCAGTTATATGAGTTAAATCCTTTGATTCGAGAAGGCTTTTGACTTTCTGTTGAGCTGTCTCCAGACCATTTATACCTTGTTCACGTGGTTGGACTCTAGATGGACGGGCTATTTGAATAGATAAATGGAAATTTTAAAAAGTAACATTAATCTACATAAATAATGATAGGACATGCGGATAAAAATTACGTGTCGAATATAAACATTTACCTCGGATATATATATTTGCAACAATGATAAAGTAAAATTAGCCACAGGGACCTTATTGATATAGGGCATTGTAGAACACTATGGTCTAAAATCAGAATAGTCTACATATCAGTTGCAAATAGAAATAACTGAATTAAAGCTTCAAAGTAGCGAAATTATTTGGTTAAAATCATTACAGTCTTCTGCTGTGCATTCCATTTGCAAAGCTTAGTATTATATTCATTCGACCAGTATCCATTTTATAATAGTGATGTTTATTTCCAATTCTGAACTAGTTATTTGTAAACAATCGAATTTAAAGTGTTATAAGCAAAGATGGATAGTGGCTAGCAGTGAAATCCAGAACGCGCGTTTCGCCCTATTTTGGACTCGTCAGTTAGTTGTACTTGCATCTCAGAGTTGATTTTCACTCTGGGACTCGTTCCCAGTACCGTTCGCTTCAAACGCCATCGTGTTATCTACTTAGCTAATGAGTCCTGATAGCCACTTGTTTGTGCAATGGGGTGAAGTTTAAATTCACTTGGTATTGTTTACTTGAATCTTCCCATTGATGTTTAGGACTGAAATTGATCAGTCTTTTATTGGCGAATGTGCATACTGTGCGTATTGAGTATAGAACGAAACGCGCGTCCTAGATTCCACTGCTAGCCGCTATCCATCTTTGCTTATAATGCTTTTGAATTAAGGCAATATCGACGTAATACGCACAGTATGCGTTTATTACGTTTACTTTTACAAAAGGCACTTATGCGGTTGACTACTATTAAGAATGTTATTATAAGCGGAGATGATGATAGCTTACAGTTGAATCCCGGACGCGCGCTTGGTCCTGTTTGGGACATGTCAGCTGGTCGTACATGGATTCCAAAGCTCATGTTCACCCCGGGACCCGAATCCAGTACCGTTCGCTTCAAACGCCATCGTGTTATCCAATTAGCTACTGATTCCAGGTTTGAAGCTTTTGAAGCAATGTCGGGTTCGAGTCCCGAAATGGATATAAACTCTGAGATTCAAGTACATGCAACTAACGAGTCTCAAACAGTATGAAGTGCGCGTCCTGGGTCCTACTGCTAGCCATCATCTATCTCTGCTTAAAATGGTTGTGAATTAACGTTCATATCAACAGAATTCTCACAGAATGTACATATGCCAATAAGAGACTAATCAATTGCAGCCCTAAACATCAATGTTAAGATCCAAACAACCAATATAAGAATGTTATGTTACATAATTATTCCCATTTATTTTGAGTCCTTAGTTTTGACCTACTTTGTCATGTTATCTGAGAGGTGAACCTTACACTAAACATCACTGTTTCTATTGGCGTGTTTTTGAAATCCAATAATTTCACCACATAGAAAAATATTTGATCAATAAAAATTATGCTTACGGAAGCTCGGTTTCTCGCTTAATATGACTTTGATTTTAGGCTGACTGTCTTCCAAGTTCATATTCCCTATCAAAAATGTTTATTTTTCCGTACATGTTTAACTATTATTGATTCCATTACTCACATCCATAATCTTCAATATGAATATATGCTATTTCCTGAATGCTGATATTCTTCTACAATTGCAGTACTTTTAATATAAATATATTGACTTTAAAGATAGGTAAATGTTTATAAGAATATGTCCGTTTTTGAACTCAAGTTTTAGTAAATTCTCCAATTCACCAATATTCTGTGTAGAGATCAGACCCGTTATGTATAAACAAATTGAATGTTATAGGAAGACTTGTAAAATGAGTTACTGTTCTGCTAAGTTGCATTTTTCAAACTTCGTCTAATATATTTAGTCAGGGACAATAAAAGACCAAGATATTATATAAATGGTAGTATTTAACTAGAAGAGATCAGTCGAGGTTGAAATTCACGTTTTTTCAATAGTTAGATGAGAAACGATTCCCTGTTGTTTGATTTATTCTTAAATAGGACAGTTACATGAGAAATTATTAAACTGAAGTTGGCAAAACCTGTATATCTTGTTGAATTGATAATCACTATGAAGAATTATTAGGTGGTATCACAACTAAGCTTCATTGACTGAAAATTAAATTTAAAAGTCGGTCTTCCTTTATAAGTTTAGAACTAAACGAACATAACTCATACAGTATTTTAAAGTGACTGAGTTTGATTATTTCAGAACTGCACAATTCTTATTATAAAGGTGTTCTCTGAATTCAAATAACCAGACATAATTACCTCGAATTTAATGAAGACAGTGTTTTCTTACATAATTAAGAAGGTTTTAATAAGACTGAGTTGACGTTTATTGAAATATTCAAACATTCAGTCCTGACTAAGAGGACTTTTTGTCAGAACAATATAATACTTAACTAGTAAGCAATTTTTATGAACTATATAGCATCCTAAACATAGTAGATGATAACTTACGACCCATCTGTCCAGTAAACGTAGATTTATACAATGATCTATCTTCGGATAAAATATGTGGAGGTGCAGCTTGAATAGAATCTTTTCGACGTAATAATTGACGAGGTCTATGATACTTGAACAAATTGTCCTCTTGTCTATCATGCTGACAGTTCACTGGTATATCACATCTTAGATTAGGTGCACTTGGTGTTCTCTGATGACCAGATACTGCATAACAATTATTTTCATTACGACGAAGTCGAATTGAAGTAGCGGCTGGTGTAAGCTTTCGATTTGGATATCGAGTATAGCTAATTGATAGAAAATTAACATAAAATTCAATTAGAAAAAAAGTTCACATAATAAAAATATTGAAATAATATTGTGGTATGTGCTACTTATGTTGACAGATATAAGTAGCATGTCACATCAGTCAGAAGTGGAATATCTGGCAGCAGAAGATTGAGAAGATCAAATTAAATACAACAGGAAGGGAAACAGAGAGTAACTGTTATAATAAAAGAATTGAAAGAATCATAAAACATGCATGGGACAACTGGCGAAAGTTGTATAAATAATGTATTTAATGTATTACTTACTTAGGCCTGTTACCCCACGTGGTGGAGGAGCACAGGCTGCCCACCATCATTCTTCATTCAACTCTGTCCTGAGTAATCCTTTCCAGTTCTCTATAGTTGCTATTCGTTCTTTCCATGTCTGCTTCCGATTCTCGGCGCAGTGTGTTCTTTTCCGTTCCCCTTCAGAATTCCAAGTTAGCGTTTGCCTTGTGATGCAGTTTGGTGACTTTCTTAATGTATGTTCTATCCACCTCAAACGTCTTTTCCGGATTTCCTCTTCACTTGTAAGATGGTTTGTTTTCTCCCACAGCAGTCTGTTGCTGATGGTATCCGGTCAACGGACATTGAGTATCATGAGTAGAAAATTGTTTAGAAATACTTATACATTTTTGATGATGGTTGTAGTAGTTCCTCAAGTTTCAGCTCCGTACAATAGAACTGTCTTGACATTCGTAATGAAGATTCTGACTGTGATGTTGGTTTGCAGTTGTTTTTAGTCCCATACGTTCTTCAATTGTAGGAATGCTGTTGACGATTTTATCAGCTACTCACTCCATAGTGTTGAACAAGGTTCCACAAGGAGTTCCTATCTACACTGTCAAACGCCTTCTCATAGTCAAGGAAGTTGATGTATAGTGACAGGTTCCATTCAATTGATTGCTCAACAATGATCCGTAGTGTCGTGATTTGGTCTGTGAACAACAAATCCTCACGAAATTCGGACTGTTGACCTCGAAGTTGGTCGTCTACTTAATCTTTCATCCAGTTCAGCGACACTCTGTTGAAAACCTATCCTTGTACCGATAATAGTGTGATTCCTCTATAGTTCTCACATATGTTCAGATCTCCTTTCTTTGGTACCTTGATGAGGAGTACCTCTTCCAAGTCTGTCAGTGACATTTAATCTTCCTCCCAAATCTTCCTGAGTAGAACGTGGATCATGTTTGAAGTTACTTATGTGTTCGATTTCAGTCTATTGTCAGGTCCTGCTGCTTTCCCACTCTTGTTTTCTCTGATGACCAGTCATCTTGATTTCTTCGATCGTCCGTGGAGTGACATAGGAAGGTCTGTATGTGCTGCTTCGATGTCTGGTGGATCCAATGGAGCTGACCTATTCAAGAGTTCTTCAAAGTGTTCTACCCATCTGTTTCTCAGTTCTTGAATCTCAGTGATTGACTTGCCTTTCTCGTTCTTGACTGGTCGCTCTGGAGTACCATATTTCCCTACCAGTTTCTTCGTCGTGTCATCTAGTTGTTTCATATTTCATTTTCTTGCAGATTTTTCCACTGTTGTTGCTAGGTGTTCCACGTATTTCTGCTTGTGACCTCTAATGTTCTTCTTCACTTGCTTGTTTGCTTCTGCGTATTCAGGTTGTGCCTTGACTTTCTCTACTGTTGTTGATTGCTGTCTTTTTGTCCTTCCTTCCTTGAATCTTTTTCAGGTTTTCCATAGAGATCAATTCCTTATGATGATGCATGTTGCGATCCAGAACCTCCTGACACTAAAGTTTTTGCTTCTTTGATCTCTTTAGAATTGTCCTCCATAGTAATTTCTTCTTCTTTCAGTAGCTCTTGTAAAACTTGGAACTTGTTGTTGAGAGCTATTCTGAATTCGTTTAGCTTGTCGGTACCTCGTATGAAGGCCGCATTAAACCCTGGTAATTGTGTTTGTCCAGTGCTTTTTTGGCCTCAGTTTCATCTTTGCAACCACCAGGTAGACGGTGATCTGAAACTATGTCAGCTGCTCTCCCTTCTGTTTTTCACGTCTTCTATTAACTTTGTGAAATTTTTACTGATGCAAACATTATCTATCTGATTCTCCGTGGTGTGATCCGATGAGACCCATGTAGCTATGTGTATTTGTTTGCGTAGGAATATTGTGCAGCCAATAACCAAATGGTTGAATGCATATAGATTTGCAAATCTTCCCGCATTTTCGTTTCCTTATCCCAATCCATGCCGTTCCATGATATCTTCATATCCGGTGTTGCCCATTCCGACTTTGGCATTTAGGCCTCCCATTAGGATCACAGTAAACAAACACTGAATAAATAGATTTCTAACAACAAACTTGATGATTTAACCTAAAACATCACTTTGATTATATTTTTCAACAGATTATTAGTCTTTCGTAATCGGTGAAGTTTCGTCAACTTATTCTAGTCTTTAATTTCATTTGGTTTTAGTTACCCTTGAATAGGATTGCAAAAAAATCAACATCAATGAATAATCTTTATCTTATTATACACAAAGTGAACAAAGTCAGGTTGAAGCCTATTTATTTTCTCTGGTTAGCACATAATGCTAATTTATTATCAGACAATAATGATGTTCTGTTCTCGTACTTTTCAGAACTCCACTGAGAGTTGACAGCTGAATTATTCAGATAGCTGAACAATAAGCTAGTTAGTCAATCGGGCATGAACTAAGTAAGACATCATACTAATGTGCATCGATCCCATTTGTTACAATTCACACTAATACAATGAGAGGAAATTAATCAAACGAAAAGCGAAAGTAACCAAATAACGATATTAATAATACCAATGGTAGTGAGAAACTAGACGTCAAAAATGTCATTCAAAAGGCGAGAATAAAATCTAGAAACAAAAAATATAGAATAACGTTGAAACCCAAACTTTAGAGATAAAGAAAGAATGTACGTATATACATATGTAACATCCCTCTGATGATTCAATATAGTCATTTGATTACAAAAGAAACCTTGTGAATTAAATAACTGCATGTATTATATAAATGACCCCGATTTGTCTAACAGACAGAGTGAGAAGGGTCTGAGGCTCATAGAACGACAGTTTATATTGTAACTTTTCTCGTCTCAGTATTGCTGTGGCCTATGTACCGTGGTACTACCAAGCAATTGACACATCTACTAACTAATTTTCCTTATAAAACACTGTGCATATAGTCTTTTTGGAACACAAAATCTCTCCTATGGAATCTTTTTACCTCCTTTCTTATCTACACGGAATCATCATCAGTGAAATATCGTCGTACATTAGCTATCGATCTGTCTGATCACGTCAGATCCGGTCTTGAATTAATAGCATTTCTTCATCAGCAATATTTAGGTTAACCAACCGCGAATTAAAAACAGTCGGTTAAAAGATCTTCCAGTATACCATATTAATAATCTTTTACAGCTCATGCATATGTTCACTCAACATCATATTAAGGGTCACCAGGATTAGAAATAATTGACAACATAAACATATTTTGCCCTACCAATGATAACTGACTTAAACAAATCTAAATTTAAATCCCGAAATGAAAATACAAAACATGAAACTAATTAGAATAAAAAAATAAGAAGAAGATCCTTTAAACAATTCATCCATCTCAGATGAACCTGATTAGTGATAATCTCGATCTCAATAGAGAGAAATGATTGCTTATCATCTTAATAATTACTAATAATTAATGTAAGCAACCTAAAACATCTCATTTCCAAAGAATACATTTTGAATATTAACAGTAAGTTTGATGAAGCTTGGACTAATTGTGATTCTGTAGGACGTTTTGTTTAACTCCAGTTACAAAGCCCACTTTAAGTCGTAAGTCCTCACGTTTCTATTGAGGGATTTATTTTAAAGCCTAAATAAATGCAAGTATAAAGCAATGACAACGTAAACCTACATCTTCCATCGATTTATCGGTAAAATACTAGTAGACTTAGCTAACTGATCTGGTTAGATTAACTAAATAAAATTCGTACTTCTAACTTTGATGCAACCAATGCTACCACTGTTAATTTAGTTCAGATCAAATTTTGACAAAAAGTCATTTGCAGACACAATATGATCAATTTTGAATTATTTGTACTTATATCTCTGAGTATACTGTGAAAAAAAGATATATAGTTTTAATAAGTAACATAATTGATCGATTTCTGTATTTTTGTGGAGACCTTCCGATATTTTGAACACAATTTTTACCAAGAACTAATGTCGGATAAACGACTAGTTAATATAGATTGACGGTGGACAGATGTCTTAGTTTGTCTTGAATTTTTTTCAGTAATTAATACTCCTTAACCCATCCGAGATAGGGGTCAGAACTTACGAATCCCACTAGTAGCACAATGAATTTAGATTATTGAGCTGGAACTCACCAGTTCACGTTTTCACCTTCGGTTAATTTGTGGATAACAGGATTTCAGCACAATAAGTCAACCATTTTGTGCTCCATAGTTGACTTGAAAGTTCCTTGTTAGACATGATAGAGTTGTGAGAGCGCACCAATAACATAAAAAGAACTGAAGAGATATACTTCTATTAAAATCAAATAATTTTCAGTATCCACAATAGTCAACTGATAGTATCTCTAGTTGACAATCGAAATGGATTTGATTGGTAAATAACAACACGTTGGATTGGTATATACATAAAACGGATTGTGAAATTGTGACGCCATAGTCTAAAATGTCACCCTGTTTCAGTAATTTAGTTTGACAGTTAGCATTTATGACCTTTCATCCAACAGACAAAAATTCTTGGATTCGATTATGTTCAGGGTAGTGAGTGTGCATTACTGTGGTGTCCAAAATTATGGATGAAACGGTTTAGTAAAAATCTTATTCAAACTGAACAAATCTATACATTTTATTCTATTAAATAATAATTTAGTTCACATCACTAACTGGACGTTTAGAAACCAAAAAACACTGGAAAGTTTTTTCGTCTTAGCATGAAGCCAAACACGTAAACCGGTGGAACTCGGGTCAGTTGCCTAAAATTTGAGTGCTCAGTACGAGGTCCGAAGGTCCATGGTTCAGTCGCCGTCGGGTTATGAGTGTGTACTTGTAATGAACTACACATAAGGAAGTAGCAGCAGTTTAGTGGTTTCTAACGTTCAGTAGTTCTTTAAATAAGGTCTATCCATGACGTAAAGCATAAAACTCAATAATCTCCGCAAACTTCCGTCAGTAATACGTCAATGACAGCTATTTACACGCTGATGAATAACATCCAGATACACTCCATAAAGTTCAATTAAGAAACTTTGAATTCTAAAGTTCAACCATGTTTGTAATAAAGCAGTGGCCTACAGATAAAAGTGAAAATGCAGATCATAGAATTTTTACCCATTGAATGTTTAGGACTGCACTGGCAGAGAACTTTGAATGATTTGGGTTTGTCCGAGTGTAAGGTCGTAAGTATGCCTATGTTACAGAATATCATAGTCAGTGATATTGTTATTAACCCACTGAGACCACTACTAATCTGAAACATTTACAATGATAGATCGCAAAGGTATCAACCAGTTTCAACTGATAACTTCTACAATCTTTAGAAATCCCCAGTACTAATAGTAATCTGGTCCTCACTAGTGACTAGCTTCAAGATATGACTCCTAGAATTCTAATGAAAAGCCATGATCGATCTGAGTTGAATACGAGACGGTTATCTCCCACAAGCAATTTTATACCAATATAATTTCTTTTTAATGTAAGTCTAATACTGAACACAATATCTAGTTCATATTCATTCTTACATATAGTGACTGACACATCATTACAGTTAGTATATACTATAAAGTAATCTACAAAAAAATAAAGAGAATTTAATGAAGAAAATTTTCTTTTCGATGAAATCATTTACTTAAGCTTTACATTCGTATTTCTAGTTATATAGGAAATCTATGTCTATAAAAGGATAGAAAATTGATTCGATACTCCTATTATCAAATGCGGTTATGCAATAATCAAAGGGTAAGGAAGGAATGTAAGGATGAAAATCATTCATGGATCAGATAATTGTCCAATTGACAGATATGAACAAAAACGACAAACATAAAGGTTACAATGATAAAAACGGAATAATAATCAACAAAACTTGTATAAGGGTAGTGATAATAATAACGGATTAGAATTTAAGATTGCAAAACAATAATTTTAAAAATCAATAATAATTAAGTAAAAAGGAAAAAAAGCCGAAACAAATTATTAAAGGGAATTAGGACCAAGGAAGGATCAGAGGTTGAACGTATCGTTTTTGCATGTAAAGTTCGGGCTTGAGTTGACGGATTGTCAATGCTTCAGCAGTGTATAAGATTTTGATTCAACTTCTATTCGATCTAATCCCTTTGACTATGTAGATTATTTTAAAAGAAGACTTTTGGAGCGATGTGTTCATAGTTGATTAAATGCTCCTATATTGAACTAGTAATTGTTTTACATTTCCTTTTTAAATCCATGCGTAACCTCATTTGATAATAAGAGTATCGAATCAATTTATGATGCTATCTTTTCTATCTTTCTATAGACATATATTTTCCATATAACTAGTAGTACAAATATACAGCTTAAGTAAATGATTTCATCGAAAAGAAAATTTTCTTCATTAAATTCTCTTTATTTTTAATCTACAGAACACTAAAATGAAATACTATTCCACGAAAGAAAACAAATGTATCATTTTGAGGAAGTTTTATTCTCTGAACTAGATGATTTACTATTTTATTTATTTTAACCCATAGATATTGGTACAAGGAGGCACCAAATACATACGCGCCACACAGATCTCACTTGATATGTGTGAGGGCTGTGATACTGCCCGGGTGCCCAAACCGAAGCAGGTAGTTTTCTCAGGGGGCCACACCTGGAAACTTCTACCTACAGGTCTGATCCACAAGATAGTGTGGCATTGTAAGGAGATGCAGTCCCATGGTAGCCAGTCACCAACGATTGGTTCATATGCCATTTTTTTCCTTCAGGATACTGGAGCCCATGTGCATCATTGGTTTGGAATAAGGGTTTTCCAACCCCCCTAGGTGGACTCTCCATGTCCACCAACCTGGTTAAAGCGCCAGACATTCGCTTTTCGTCCTCTCAATTTCGTAAACAACACCCCTACCACAAGAAGGCAGTGAGTAGGACTTCCTTGACAGAGGCTATATACGCGTGGCCATGTGAGAGCATTTGGAGAAAGAGAGCGAACTCTCCACACTCTCGGACGTACCAGGGCATTTGGGGGCTCTTTCATCGTTCATCTCAACGACATCATCATCATCATCATCATCACAAACTCCATCATCTCAAAAAGTATCATCTTTAATTAAGAAGTTGGATTATTATTTTTTTTAAAACAAACAAAAACAACAACTACAACAACAAATATACTTACTTCATTTTTGTAATAGTTGTATAATTTGTAGATTTCTGATTATCAAACCATATAGGATGATTTAAATTTCTATCAATATTTGAATTATTAAAATTCATATTTTTTTTTAAAAAATCTTTAAATAACTTTCTTTTTTTTTAAAAAAAATTTCAATGTTTTATTTCAATTACCCTAATTATATTCAATTAGCGCTCTTAATTTAAAATTCAATAAATAATTTATTTGTTTAAATGAATATTTTTTTATATTTTGAATAAAGAAACTATAATTTTATGCACTTTATTGATGTATATTCATATGAAATATTATTGATTTTTATTAGTTGATGTTTTTGTTTTTGTTTTTTTGTTTGTTTGATTGATGGATATAGGGACTAATAAAAAAAAGTGTAAATCAAATGATCAATTGTACTCATTTTAATTGATTAATAAACTTAGTTTGTTTGTTTGCTTGTGTTTTTTTCTTTCAAATTTCAAATAATAATTCTAATATGAATTTTATATCTTGATATCATTTGTATTAGAGGATATACATTTTTAGATGGTGGTTGGAGGTAGTCAACAGGAAACCCTGGACCCAGGTTTCGTGCTACTTGGCACTCGTCAGTAAGGTATACTTGTAATCTTGAGGGAACTGGTGCTCCCTGGCGAATTTGATCTCGTGTCACCCAGCTTCACAGCCAGAGACGTTACCACTGAGCTATCCGAGCCGTGACTATATATATATATATATATATATATATATATATATATATATATATATATATAGCCGTGACTATATATATATATATATTATTATTATTATTATTATTATTAAGTTTCATCCCTTTATTAATGTAGATTATAACAAAAAAATAAAAAAAATGTTTTATTGATTCGTTTTTAGTGGCCTAGAATCTGATTCCAGTTTGATTGTTTCGGATTGTTTGTTATTAAAATATACATTTAGACAATCGTTGTATATAATCATTGATTTAGCTCGTGTTAGTGAATAATGGAATTAAATAAGTCGAATACGAGAATGGATTTTTGAATATTTATATTTTGTACATTCACTGATCTGGACAGATAATGAGAGAGATGAAGTGAATAGAAGAGAACGAAACGAAATGATGTGTAGTGTTGAAGACATGTGAGCCAACTCTTTTTCAATCAAGCGTTAAACAATATTTATAGCCAGATAAAAATAAATTACAAACATATGATGAATAAGATAAGAAGTGTAAACACACACACGCTTATATAGAAATAATCAGGGTTAATAAGTGAATAATTAACACAGTTAAAACATGACTCAAGAAAAATGGATAAATTGACCTGTCCAGAAACTAGAATAAGGTATATGAGTTTAACATAATAACCGACACTACAAGTTGTTATGATTAAAAATTCCATTCTTAAGTATTTTTTTGGAGATGGTGCTAGCATAAACCAATCCCTTTCAATTATTTATCGAGTCAGTAATTTTTTGCCAAAGCTTGACAGATATAAAATCCTTCAAACGGATGAAGAAACCTGAGCTATGCGTACAAAAGTAATATCATCAACCTCTTTTGATCCCCTGGCCAACCTCAAGGCCAATTAAACAATAGTAACCTTAGCTATTGAATGACCTAATTTGACTACTGCACTTAAGACCCTTCGTAGTCAAATTTAATGTTCTCTGTTATTTTTATTCACAAATCTTTGTATTATTATTATTATTATTATTATTATTATTATTATTATTATTATTATTATTATTATTATTATTATTATTATTATTGGTTAAACATCCCTATTAATCTGCCCAATACATGATTCATTTACTTTGCATTCATCCCACCTTATTATGTCTTACTAATATTTTTTCACACAGTATCGTCTTCTATTAAACATTTGATCGAATTGTAATGGCACTATAATCTCTCTCACCTTATCTGACTCATATTTATTCTGATCATGGATCTTAGATTTCCACTTAACATATATGCAGATTCAAGTTAACATTCTATATGAGTCATATCCACATTAACCATTTTATTCTATTTTGTTTGACATTCCTAAATTCACATGCTTTAACTTTAAACGATACACTTTGCCCTTAACCTGACCATTTTCCGGATTATTACTTTGGATATATAATTGTAGAACCTGAAGAGAATTTATCGAAAAGAATATTCTTCATGGAAATATTAGTCTGTTATTAGGTTAATCTTAAACTAACCGGATATGTAAACCTTAATAAACTAAGAGAGTAGTTTGTGAATTATATTTAAGAGATTTTTTAAATTAATATTTAAGACTATTCTGAAAAAGAACTTCTCAAGAAGCTAAAGAATAAAGAAGGAACGAATCAAGCGAAGAGATTTCTTTTCAATTAATTTTTCATTATGACTCTTCACTAATATAAACATGTATAATTTACAATAATGAAATAATACTCATCTAGTGGATACGTTACGTAAGAATTACATAATGACATTTCAATTATAAATCAACATTAAGTAATTGGAAGAAAGAGGATTAATGATAATCAAATTATTCGAAAATCAAGAAGTTGCTTCGTTACATAACATATGAAAAAGCGAAGGAACAGAATATTTTGATGAATGGTCAGTAGAATCGTAGTTATGTAAGAATCAAGAGATGAATGTTGAGAATATTTAAAATACAAAGTTCAAAAAACAAAATGGAAGAAGTACGAAAATAGTTTATCAATGTTCTGTTACAAACGCCCCTATATCGATGGCCAAGGTATCGAAAGTGGTTGTACACACTTCTTTTGGATGCAAAGGTTAGGTTTGTGAACACGACATCACACCTCTATACAGTCAGCAGTACGACTTCACCCTTGGATCTTGGTTTGGTGCTTCTAGTCTTACTGTTCTCCAACCGACATGTCTGGCATTTTTCAGCAATTTCAGCTAAAGAATACTTCAAATTAATTTTGGATGACCATTGTATTTGAAAATGTTCTAATGAAGTTTTGAAGCTGATGCATGAATTTTTTATTTTAACTGATTAGTTAAGCGCTTAAATTTATACCAGTTCCAAATTCAATAACTTCAAACCCATTCGGAATAATTTTCCCACCCACTAAATTTTGACAATGAAATAACCTTAGAAATAGATCTCCTGTCACATTTTTGTTTTTGGATTTTATTCAGAAATCAAAGATCATGGATTTAAGAGAGCCTAAACCTCAGTGAAGAATTTAGCGTCACAAAGGTTCAGGGAATCTAATTTAACAAATGGTAAATTTTATAAGAAAATAAACTGCTCATCTGTGGATATTTAGTAAATTATACTTAGATATTGACTTTTACAATTATAAAAAATAAATGATGACTACTTACACAATATTTAAGTGGTTTGAAGTAAAATAAAACACCATTTACCGTAAAAGCCTGTCTGAAAATGTTATGTAAAAAATTATCCTTATTGATTTCCCCAAGTATATGGATGAATGAAAATGAGATAGTATGATTATGAAAATTCGTACAGAATTCCATGGGGAATTCTTCAAAGCTAAGAAAGAATGAAAGTTTAAGCGGTTACTTTACTCAAAAATAATTCATATGACAGTATATAAGATTTGTTAATTCAATAATATACACAAAACGGTAATGTAAACGTCCGTTGGAAGTTGACCATCTAAATATTATGAAATTAAACACTAGTAATGATAAAAGCTTGATGGATTTCAGGAATCTGAAGAACAAACTCTATACAAATAAAAAACTGTATTTAAAGACAGATATTGACGTACTTCTCCAAACCTGTCTAGAAGAATCCACGTAGCCTGTAAACTTTTAGAATAATGATCAAAGGCATATTTAATACACCTGTCCCAATAAGGTTGTTGAGAAATTTAGACATAAAACGTCGAGAGATGTTCAGGAATCCTTCGAAGACATTTATCTATCAGAAGTTATGACAATACATTTAGTTCCTGTATAGACAGAAAAGGTACCGTTCATGGTATCTGCAAACTCATAGAGAGTAGTTCTATAAATACAATAGAGTATGTCTACATATAGGAAACATTTTTGAATTCTTTTAGTTTCCCTGACCACGCACAAATACTTAATGCGATCTTCAGTGTTTGTCATTTATTTCTCTGTTGAAATCATTTTCGAACTTAATTTGCTTTGACTCTGTGTCCACATTAGAATGTCTGTAAAATTTGTACGGAACACATTATCATACACAATCTTCAAGTCTTGCTTCTACCTTGTTTGAGAATCTACCTTTTATTCATTCTATCTGGTCTGGTTTCCAGTTTCTTGTTTCACAGATTTACTAAAGAGTATCGTTTTACATAAATTTCCCGTTTTAAGTTTTGTGTCCTTGTTTTATTTTTACACTCAAATTTAGTGACTTTCTGAAAGAAGTATCTTATCTCAACTAGTTCAGTTGTACATTCTGACACAGATTGTGTGCACAAAAGAAGTACTTCTTGTCTCGACCATTACCATCCCATTAAACAATCACTATTATTGTTTTATTTCGTATTTGAAAGTATTCCCCTCTCTCTTTATTTACTTCTCATATCCCCATGATTTTAATCATAACTGTTTCTGGCATCACTTCATTTCATTTTGATTATGATTACGGTGGTCATGAGTGCTGTTATAGGTATGAGGTCGGTTTGCACTTCCCGGTTGCCCACACTGTGGAAGGGTTCTTCTAGAGGTATCTGAAAAGGAAATAGGGTTAGAGGTGGACTTAGTGACCCGAGAGCGTAACTGTAGTGCTCAAGGGAGAACTGCTTGAGGCTCATTAAACGACCTTCTTGTGGGTAATTTTCATGTTGGCTCCCTATTGTTGGGACCTTTCCACCGGAGACGGAAATCCATGGGATAAGGCAAGGTATGCATTTATAGGGTCGACTTTTTCTGACCCCACCCTTTCTTATGGGAAGGTAGTACCTCTGTTATGCTAGTTGTCTGAGAGAAACACCTTACTGCCATCACACCTCTGTACAGTCAGCAGTACGACTCCACCCTCGGATCTTGGTTTGCTGCTCTTCAACCAACATGTCTGATATTGTAAGACCTTGAGGAACGATTGTTCCGGCCAGTATAGCCTGGTTGGTTCATCACAATAGGCAAGTCCGACCACCACGTCAAAGTTGCAGGGACGTTCGAGATCGGAGTGAAGTGTTCGAATTTCTCTGATGTTGTTCAGAAGAACGATGAAAGCTCCACGACCAAACCATTCAGCTCAGAGAACAAAACTCCACCAAAAACGTTCGGGATCATTTCATTTTACCCCTCTATTACCTTTAATTATTGTGACAAGAACATTTTAATTATCTTACTCCATTCTATTAGTAACTTATTGGTTTTGTAAGGCTTTTTATTTATACACAGTCTTTTATTGTTACTATTTATACTACACAATCTAGCATAATAAGTTTACGATTACATCAAGTTTATTCACTGTTCATATGTCCTCAGGGAATTACTACTTAAAATTTGATATAGATATACGACCGTATAACTTGAAAATAAATTCTCGGGAAAGAGATCCCTTGCACGAACTTCATGTTTTGAATGTTTAAATGGGGATTATATGTCTAAATAAGTAGAGGAGATATATGTTGGTCACGATCAATAAAAACGAATCAACCAATTATATTTAAGTCAAACACCCACCAACTAAAACTCACTTTGTTCTCAGAACGACTGTCTTTTGTTAAATCTACCAATTAAACAATTGCACGATTTTCTATAAACGTGACTAAGTTCCGATGGATTCATTTGCTGTGCCCTTTAATCACTATTCTATATGCACCAATTTTCACCGCCTACCTTTCTCTATACGGCCTCATGATTTTATGTCCTTGAAATAATTTTATTAATTTATAGTTTAGCATGAGATTAAAGTTTCGCGACACCGTTTACCTGTTTTGACTTTCGTTAAACTATGACTGTGTTTGACAGAGACGAGTTTAGAAAATGTATCTGTAATGCAACTAAATCCAACATAAATACGTATGTGGATTGCACAAACAGATTTCGAGAGATATTTTCACTATTTTTTTACTATATCAGACTACATTTTGGCTCAGTTTATTTTAAGTCTATACACATTGTTGGATCAAAATGATAAACATATGACGAAAATACGGAGATTACTTCCGAGAACTAATACTACTACTTATAAGTAGCTGAACAAAAATCTCGTCACTTTGATAGATTACAGTAATAAACATCAACAAATTAGTTTCTTAATACTATCTACTTTAAAAAGTTAAACTTGACTCCAAAAAATGCCGAATAGAAAAGAGTAGAAGACTATAAATCCAAAATATCAACTATTATTATTATTATTTGTTCATTTATGTGTAAGTTTTTTAGAAAAAAACATAGCAGCACTAACCGTTATTGTGAAAATTGTTTTGTTAATGATGGCTTGTGTAAGGTTCTTATTCACAAAAAAAAGAAAGAAAATGGATCATACGAGTACGATCAGCGCATATTTTCAGAATAAAGTCATATCTATCTTGTTTGTTCAATTGTTACATTCATAATTACACTTAAATTATTTGACATATTTATTTAAGTGATAATTTTAAAAATTGTAGTGCGACTCGCACATACACACACAAACATACATACATACACATATACACACAAGAAACATATATATGTATACTGTACACGTACTCAACAAGTACAATATGTATATGCATAACTAGGTCTGAAAAAGATTTCCGTAGGGTTGACACAATAATAATTGTAGTCATAATAAAGGTAAGTGATAAAAAAACTGAAGTAGCGAAAACAGTAAACTGTGGACAGGGGGAAGGTTAGGAAAGAGAATGTGAATTGCCTGTCTAATTTACACATATTTAGTCCACTATTGTTAGAGTTAATGTCCATATGATAACGTAGCTACGGACGTGGATATATATATATATATAGTAAACAAAAGAAAAAAATTAGCATGTAAACGTGGAAGAAGTAGATTTGTAGAAATAAAGAAATATACAGGTAAACATCTCTGGGGAAGAATGAAATATAGTAGGAATCACAAAGACGGTCACAAGACAACAACAGTGATAAGAATACAAGCAACATCAGTTGTGTTTTTAGAAGAGCTCAGTAATATTAAAAATCGAGAGGTGAAGTAAATCAATAATATTTAATGAATGTAGCTCGAATTACAGTATTTTTCAGATGGCAGTTTTGAAGAAAAATAGGCAATATTGACTGTCTTCCAATTATTGTTATAAAAGAATGATGATTTTTAATTATTTCCGTAGTAGTTATTTTGAGAAAACGAAGAAAAAAGAGGTGAAAAACGCAGACTGATAAACAAAACTACATACTACACCAATAAACAACAATAAGAGAAATATCATCTCGTAATCATTTCCTTTTCATTCAGAAAAGCAATAAACAATCAGAAAGTGTAATGACGAAGGAGGAGGTTATGTCGATGGTAAAAGTGAGGAGTGAGAAAACACTGAATAAGTAGCTGTTATGCAATAGAAGTCATAATAGTAATTGTAGTAGTAATTTACATAATCAATAATTTTATTTGTTTAATTGTGATGATGTCAAGTATGAAAAGAGAAAAAGAAAGAAGTGAGTTACTGTGAGAAATTATGGTCAACTGAATGTTGATACAGAAAATTATGATAAACCTAATTAATATTAGATTGGACAAAATGTTACACTTTCTTTAATCTTCTCTACATTAGTTCAGAGATCACTGTTATTGTTGATAATGATAATGGGAGATTGTTTTTCTTTTCTTTTTTTGTTTACAAAGAAATGAACAAATGAAAGGGAACAATGAGGATTATAGTATTTCTGTTCAGATTGGTGGTTCATAAAACTCTTAGTTAACAATCTTGGCATATATAAAGTAGAAATTTTGTAAGAAGATATTTTACAAGATATCAGCAGTGATGGAACAGAACGAAGAATTAATCAACACTCATTTTTCACTATTGTACATACTACACACATGTAAATGTATATCCATATACATAGTGAGGCAAACTAGTCAACGCATATACTTTTATTATAATCATGATTCTGTGTTTTAACTAAAAAATAAACTATTGGGAATGAGCTGAAGATATGGACTTTCCTCTCTTTCTCTCAGTGAACCGGTGATAATAATAAATCTCAGAGAAAATTAAATAAACAGAAATAAGTGTTTTAAGGAATGCTAAAAAGTAATAAAATAAACAAATTGGGAAAGAAATAAACACATATACAAACATATAATGAAAAATGAAAGACAGTATAGATCAGAAGTACAGAAAGTTTCTTTCATGAACTAATTAACTTATTAATGATAGTAACCATATCAGTTTTATTAAGACTTTTTTTTTTAAAAAAAGTACACACTGAAACCAAATTGTACATATTATTACTATTATTATTATTATTATTATTATTATTATTATTATTATTATTATTATTATTATTATTATTATTATTATTATTATTATTATTATTATTATTATTATCAGTTGAATGAGATGTACACATATAAATGGATACCTCAAAACATCCAAATACTGAACATATATGTTAGTGATAAAGAAATCCAAATAATCATAGATGTATGTGCGAATACATCTACATACACGAAATCATACAAATAAGAATACGGAAAAATAGTTTTATAAACAATAGGCAGGATTAAACTTTATATTCACAAATAGACACACACACATACAAGTTTACATTGGTATACATACACACACTTGTAGATTCTGTATGTAAATATTGCTGATATCAATAGATGATAGAGATTAAGAGAATAGATGTATAGATTGTTGTTAGGCACAATAATTTAGTGAGATCATATTGAAAGCACTTTTTGAGCAAAATTCATTTTACATATACAGTCATAGAAACGAAGAGAGATTGAGTATATGTTGTACAACTGAATTGCTTCATTACTTTGAACACACACATATACATAGATACATACATACATGTACACAAATATAAACAACAGTAAACAATAATTGAAGTTATTTCAAATATCACTATGAATTTGATAGCAATTGCTAGAAAAAAACAAAGAGCAAATGTTATCAGTAATGATGTGATCCGTAGAATTGGAAAAAAATCTGAAATAATCACACAAGAATCTAATTGAATTATTCACTTTTCTTTTTTACAGTACATCACATTAAACTTTCTCGTCAATTTGTTGTGAATTATTATCAACACAACTACTACCTGATACATTATAAATAACTTGATCATCATTTAAATGACATACAGCTACTCGTCTTTGATTAGGATTAGTTAATTCAAAATTATTATCATTATTATTATTTGGATGATAAGGATTAGTAGTTTTCATTGAAACTCTTTCATTAGATTCAACAGCAGATTTTGATTGTTGTAAATGTTGTTGAGGATGATAATGATGATGGTCAGTAGCAACTACACTGACATTATCACTATTATTATTATTATCATTAATGATATTACTACAGTCTACGATAGATTGTGAATTAAATGCTGGCGATGCAGGTGAACTGTGAGATTTACGCCTTAATGAATTATCAATAACGGTTTCTTTATTATTAATCACAGCAAGATGATTGGGTGGAGGAGAGGTTAACTGTGGATTACATACATGTTCTGGTGATTGGGTGAAATCAGAATTTCCTTTATGTGTTAATGCACCGGCAGGTATTGGACCTGTAACACCTTCGTATGTTCCACCAACTATTTGTGCACCAGGAGGAATAGGATCAACAATATAACAATCTTCACCATGTAACCAGTACGTTTTTTGACGACCTTTACCCTATACGCACGAATATTATTAGGACAAAAATATATTTATGAATTAAAACAATGTGAAGAATAGAATATTTAAGCGATATTCACTCTTCAATATTATTTAAGATTAAATTATAGGTAAATTCAACTGTAAACATACATTTCCTTAAAATTCTCTGTTTTAAAAATTAGTCAACAGTTGGTAATATAAGTGTACTAAGCTATTTGAAATGATTATACACTTCGCAAGATATTTATTAGTAAAAAGTATCAGGAAGTCAATGATCTATGTACTGCAATGTTTACGTTACCGCGATCGATAACCACAGAGATCAATTTTGATGCCTATAACAGTTGATTGTACTGAAGAACACCAGTTCATGTTTTAGATATGTAAAGAGACAATCAAAACACAAGTGATAGGATTCGAAAAATGCTATGTTCTATCAATTATTATCGGCAGTGACATGTTTCAAAGCTACAACGATGAATATCGATAGATACAGGAGACAAGAGGAGAATGAAGAGTAACCAGTTATTGTTTATGTTATTTAGTTTTCATTTTCAACAATGATTATTGAGTTTATTAACTCAAAGATTATGTTTTATAGTTTAATAATATATATTTAGTAAGTTAATTGATTTTTCTTCTGCGTTAATTACATTAATAAGTTTTGAATTCATGAAGGTGGATCAGTCAATCATCTGAGTAGGTGAGCAGTCCGGCTACCTGAATTACTGTAGTAATTTTGAGAGTCGCAAAACATTTAACATGCAAAAGATGTGCAAGAATATATATATATATATATATATATATATATATATATATCCCGCGTGCGGGACCGTGGATGCGGGCCACTGACGAGTCGCGTATTAGGACGAAGCGACCATCCAGTGACACCAGGTTTTAAGTGGTGGTCTAACATTAATCGGATTGTGGTTTGAATGAAGCGCAACAATATCCATAACCCCATGCTGAAAAAATATATATAAATAGAGAGAGCGAGATTAAAATTTATTCAACAATCAATGTACTCACTTTCATTTCAACTAAACCACGTTCAGTCATAATAAATGATTTGAATGTTTTCAATACATCAAATGTTTGTTGACTGATATGAATTTTTAAGGCTAGAAAATGTTTACAGAAGTAGCAAAATAAAAAAGTATAATAAAAAAATTTAAAGAGGGGTGAAATTTTATCATATATTAATTGTATTTATAGCCATAGAAATAGTAGACAATAAGGATTAATTAACAGATAGATACTGGTAAACTTCAACAGAAATACTACAGTTCTTGACATATTGTCTTTTCTATTTATCGTTTAACAAAACAATAGATAAACATATCAGAATACGAGTACCTTTTATATGATGATGGATAGAAAGTCTAGTTGTAATAACTGAACTCATTGGTAGACAATTAAATTGATTAATTACGGGTGGAATACATTTGCTCTTGAAGACATTTTAAACACATTTTGAAATAATTACGATTTTTAGTTCATTTCAAAGACCTGTTGAAAAGCTGATCCCTACTCCCATGAGACCTTAAAATTAAAATTCATTGACCAAATTACTTAATTAGTTTCATATCGAAATGGTAATGACATGTGAAATGATTAATCTAGTCAAAACAGTATCTGTCTATTGTAACAGAGAGGCTAGTGAAGATGAGTCGAATTCGGAGATCTAGAGTTTCACGATGTATTTATGACTGGCGATCTGCTAAAAAATATCTGACTGGCTTACAATTTTTCTCTCTGGATGATGACAGACCCTGGTGAAAAATACATTTTAGTTATGCAAATATATTCAACCCAAATAGACTTATTTACTGTTCACTATTATGTCTATCGGTTTATGATACCTTTCTACTAATGGAGTCAATGAATTATATTATCATTATCATTACTATCTTAATTAAAAATGTTTCTTCGGATAAAGAAAATAAACTTACGTAAACCATTACTCTCCATTCGTGAAGAAGTATTCACTGTATCACCAAACAGGCAATAACGCGGCATTTTTTGTCCAACAACTCCAGCACATACTGGACCTGAATACACATAAACACACACAAAGAGAACAACGACACTAACAAAAAAGCGAACTAGTAAAGAGGATAAATTAACAGGGTGAAATACACAAATTATGAGTAGCAGTAACTAATGATTGATCATTAAATAGATTACCATAAAAACGGTTGACAATTCACGAATGACAAATGTGGATGGATAGACTGATGCATCTATCAAACTATTCTAACAGTATTTAAGATCAGCTATAAACTATGCAGCAAAATAGTTAAGATATAGACTTTAAGATGGAATGTACTTTAGAGAATAAACTACTTAAATATAAAACTATTTGCATGAGTAATAAATTAGTGATCTATTTTTAATATTCCCACAGTGTAAGACATTGAACAGCTCACTTTACAATCACCATTAAGCTGAATGACATAACGGTAGTATGATCAGATTTGCTCGCTTTTACTATTTAAGCGTGTTGATCTGAATTAATGATTTATTCTTTCAAGGAGCGACAACTCATGTTGTCAAAAAAGTCCGACATTCAGTTTTCCACTCATCGGATATGCCAAAAAATACACTACTGTAAGCAGTTCATTAAATATTTAATTTATTTGAGATTATTAAGGAAAACCATGGTTATTAATATTTATTTGGATATAAAACTATTAAAAACTTTATAGGACTGAACAACTCGTCTCTCTCATAGTTTATAACTACTCAACATTGTACACTGAAAATCTAACATTGAACGAATCTAAACCTATTTTACACTCGTGTTTCAAGAATAACTATCTCCGATGCTATCTCATTTTTTGTAATTCTTCATCTGATATATCGTCTTGTAGCGAAAACTGACAAGTCTACAAAATTCTGTTTCGTATAGAGATATTCAAAAATAGAGAATAACATCAAATAAGACTAACACATAAAGTACACGACATATTTATAGTTTAATCCGATATCGATCTATTAATTAAGAAATTGACAAAACTCCACACTACAAAACAAAAACCAATTAAGCTTAATTATATTTAAAACAATTAGTCCCTTTGATAAATTCCGACAATGTAATAAGAAGACGAAGATTATCTGAACTATGTGATATAATAGCGCAATACATTTCGAACAATCTGATCACACTATTATATTTAAATAAAACTAAGACCACTTGTTGAATGGGATCGAGACAGTGGCGATAAGAATTTGGTTTAATTAGTTTTGAATCGATGAGGAACAATATTGTTTGGAAATCAAAAGAAGATTCTATGGACGTTTATAATAATCTTTGAAAAAACACCGCATCCACTCAACAATTCATTACTACTACTAGTAATAAGAAGAAAATAAAAAAATGTCTTATTAACGAAACAATGAGTTTTGTTTTTTAATATATTGCAACAGATTATAGAATAAAAACATAGGTTATCAACTAGAAAAACAAAACTACTGTATTGTTTAGTGTTTGAAAGGAACATATAATTTTAGAGGTTGATTAGACCCTCAACAGTCACTTTTCAAAGTTACATTGTTTCGCTACAACCACACTCACAGAATGATCATAAATGGATGTATGTAAAATATAGTGAATAGTAAAAACTAAATTATCACTCACCTGAATGTATACCAATCCTTAATTCTAAACGTTTTTCAGGTCTATGGGGAATTTGAAATTCAAAAATAGCTTTCAAAAATGCAATAGACATACGGGCTACTTCACGTGCATGTTTGTTACCGTTACGTTGTGGTAAGCCGGAAGCGACCATATACGCATCACCAATTGTTTCAACTTTATATGCATCGAAATTTTCAATTATTCCATCGAATAATGTATATAATCGATTTAACAATTCTACAACCTATTCAGTGAAATAATCATTTATGTATATAGAATAAATTTCTGTGTAAATAAATTTAATAATATATTACACAATGTGAATATATATACGTAAAATATCAATATTACTATTAGTAGTAACCACAATAACAGTGAATGTAAAACAAAATTTGGTCTTGACATTTGTTGTTTATCGAAAGATCACTTTCATCAACGTCTTCTATGCTTGTAAGTGGTGATTACATAGGTCTGTTTTCAGAGTCGTTTAAGTCCAATTTTACTTAGTGTATTATAGATGTATCATATTAGAAAAGGTTTATCGACGTATGGTTTGAAAAATATATTATAATGATAATCCACTAAGATAGCCAATTACACTATACTCATTGGTTGATAAATTTCAATAAGACTTCCAACGAAAGTAATTATCTACTTTCTTTTAATCGAAGACAAATGTACTCAAACTAAAAATAAATGTAAGTGACAAAATAAAAAAGGTAAGAAACTTGTTATTAAGATATTTGTAACAGACGTAAGTAAATATTTCAAGTTGTAATGGTAACACAGTGCTCCATTAAAAGGTTCATAATGTTTCCCACTTTGTATATGTTTCATAACTCTGGTAAAATAACCACACAACTGTGAGATTTTATACTATAAGTTATTTAATACAACAAGCTAAATTATTGACTACAAATTAAATATTTCATAGAGTGGATTTAACAACTCATTGTACATTGGAAATAACCGAACTGGAGAAAAGTTAGGCTATAAGCTGATGGGCTTAAGTATTTTACACTTTAGAAGCTTACTACTAAGAGGTAGTGAAAAAAGTATACTTCAAAAAATCAACCTGATTTCTATCTAGTCATCAAATGAGCTTTTTTTTTTCTTAAAAACAACGTTGACAACGTATTTATCCTTTGTAATTAGGGACCTTTCAAATAACAAACATGAATGCAACCGAGGTGAAACTAGAAAAATGCATGAATAACAAAAAGAAAAATACAAATACCTTTAAAAAAATAAGAAATTTGTTAAAAATAAAAGAATTAGATTTTTAGCTTTTTTTTGAAGAATCTATAGAGCTCGCTAAATATTGTACGCCCTAAACAATAAAGAAAATAGGCATGTGAATGAAATAGACAATTGGTAGAGATTAATGACTAGTCAAAAACCATCTACTGGTTAATTTTTTACTATACACTAATCGTTAGTGTTATTTTGAACTAACCTCAAGTTTCTTTTGTTAGAGAACCAAAATTAGGGTGAAAAAATTTCATAACAGTTTACAAAGTGGTAAACCATGTTTTAGTCATGATTTAATGGATAATTTATGATATTCTGTGTAGCACGAGATATTACTAAACCATGATAATAACACTGGTGACGAAGTTTATAATACCACTAGATTGGATACTCGAATGGGACTCCACACACAAACTAGATCACGTTTTATAAGATACCCGACCCACGACCAAAAACAGACATATAGAATAACGTAAGACGATAATTTATTTCACATCATTACAAGCAGTTACTCTCAGTGAGTCCGAAGTAGAAATCAATAAGAGGAAAAGAAATCACATTTGGTAGTCAATATGCTGAGTCACTGTTTATTCATACGCCTCGTTAGTTTCACTTATCATTTATTTTGTTTCTTTATTTTTATGCTAATGAGAAAAGGATTCTTCATTAGTTTCTAAACCACAATTTTAGATCATATTAAAAAGGCAAGGAACTCATAAGGGCATTGGAGAGAAAAAAAATAACTGGTTAAATATTCCAAAATGTAGTGTACTGAATGAGGAAATATGTAAACATACACAGTAATTACTATTTGCTTGATTTCTTGTTTTATTTTTAATCACATAAAACGAATTAAACAATAAGGATGATTATAAAAGTTATTTTTACAATACGAACACCAGAATTCAAGTTTTATCATTGCATTTTTATTAGCATAAGGTTGCGAAAATTGTTGAGTCTCACTGAAATAATGAACCGATCAATGTTATACCACCCTGTCAGACATTAACACAGTGGTCTGGAAGTTAAGTGTTTGCGTACAAGAATGAAGGTTCTGGTTAAAATTCCCGTGTACGAGGCAATGGTGCACACTACCGAGGTGTCCTATGATCGTCCAGTGATCCCAGGTTTTCAATGGTAGCCCAGCATTGATTGGTTCATGACTTCAGTGAAACATTACATATTTATTGACTGAATAGTATTGTCTTGACCTTTAAGTAACTAAGATGTAATCTTGAAAATTTATAGCGAATAAAACTACTGACTATTGAATTTCAGTATGGAGTAAAACCACATTTATCAACTAACCATAACACATCCAACATTTTTATGTTTATCAAGATAAGTTGACACATCAAATAAAGATGACAAGTGAGAACCAGGATGCATTAGAAGGTTATTTCATTAGAGTTTCGGAATTTGTTACCAGTTCACAAACATGGTTCTACACCAGGGATTTAGCTCATAGGAAGTAAAGATCTCTTGAATAACACGATGTCACCCAAAAAATGCCAAGTTTAAATAGATTTATCTAAATGTTTTTACGACTTCAGTTAATTAGTGATATATAATGTAATAATAATCTAATGAATATATATATATATATATTCTCGTGATAATTAATAGAACTCCTAATCGAGAGAATTCGGTCAATACTAAGGAGGACTTACCATAGGTGACATTGGCCACTGCTCAATGATCAGTCAATTTTACGTACATCTCAGACCTACAGGAGGTTATTCGTGGCCCATAAAGCTCAGTGGTAACGTCTCCGACTGCGAAGCACGAAAGCTAAGCCCAGGGTTTTCCGTAGACTCAGTCCGACGACCACTTAACAAAACCACTCGTGTTTTCAAATAATTCGAACCCTACTTTCCTTTTCTTATAATTTGCACAGAGAATATGGAGAATATTCAGTAGTAAAGAAGACAAAAAGTTAGTTTATCACAAATATTTCAACAGTTCTATGTTTAGTCTTATTACTATTACTATTATTTTCACATTTAGATGTCTTGGAACCTAATGTTTATCTGGAAACTAAGATTCTCTACCTACAATTGTAGAACACTTTTGGTAAACGGAATAAGAACATGAAAGCACAAAGCAACTGATGGTATACGACTAAATACTGACCAGATTAGTTTATAATGATGTACATACGTACACACATACATATATAAGTATTTCAAGTAAGTGTCAGAATAATTTACATTACGGTAATTCCTAAGTCTGTGTGAAGAGGAGAGTGGATTATTGATTCATTGAAAAAGAATTATCATAAATTAAACACACATAATATTTAGATTTGAAACTTTTGAACAAAAACACAACAACAACACATAAAATAAGTGAATATTCTACAAACCTGCATTGGTGTAGATTCCGCTGAAAGTGAAGTGAATCCAACAATATCACTAAAATAGATGGTGACCATTTCAAAGCTTTCTGCAGTTACGGGTTGATTACGGAATAACTGTTTGGCTACAGATCTGAAATAAAAAAAACTATTGGAGAACAACAGGGTTTCTAAAACTGATTTTATTTGTGTAAAAAATTCCGGCAGGACTATAAATTATAGACGAACCAATCAGATTTAAGATGGAAACTCTTAGGTTTCGGATGGAAATCCATTCATCCATATGGCTAAATAGCATTTTGGGATTATAGCTGGTGTCAATTTATGATGAAAACCTTAACTCACGTTCCTAACCGTAACTTCGAACTCTAAATCCCTCTATTAACCTTAATTGGCAGCTGGGTTTTCTCAAGGTTACTTTAGTACCCTCAATGGTTGTTCATAAACTATAGTTTCAACGAAATTCTTAGTAATATGTTACGAATACTCAGGTTATGAATGGTTGTTATCGATTGAATGTTATACAACTAAGGAGAACAGAATAAAGCATTTCGGGCTACATTTTACTTAGAAATGCATGTATAATCATTTAAAACGGTATATATAAGCATAGGCATATTAATGAGTACTATCGCGAACTGAATGAGGTTAGATATGTTCACCACTGGACCCCAGATCAGTGGCCTTAGCGTTCAGAGCTCGCCGACAGACTCGAAAGTCTTACGTTCGATCCCAGATAGTAGTGGATGTGCACTGCTGAGGCATCTAATACTAAGATGAAACAACTGTCCAGTGTATCTCGATTTTTAATGGTTGTTGAAATAAGATCAATACGAGATATAAACCACTGAAAAAAGATATCGTTTCATCATCATCATCATGAATAACAACGCTTACCTTGGTAACATAGAATATAATAAATCTTCTGTTTTCTTTTTCTCTTCTAAATACTGAGCTGTACGTTGTTCAACTAATTCTTCTAAATTATTCGCATATTGTTCCATACGAGAGAGTAAATTGTCCAAAACATTATTACTATCTCCTGCTCTATAAATAATTTGCAAAGATTGTATTTATGTGTGATAAATACTTTTACAATAAAAATAACTATATATCTAGCCAATTGATATGAAATATTATAATTACATTCGTAACTATTTTTTGAGAAATGAAACGATGATCATTATCTAACAATTTGGAATACAGATCAGTGTTAATAAGTGCTCGAGTAGATATTTTATCTTCAAAACAAGTAGATACAGAGTATCATATCATCGTCATCACCAATTTTTTATAATATTACTTATTCAGAAACACTGTTAAACTTAGCATAAATACGTATCAGTTTTATTGAAATCAGCAGATTAGACGAGGAAACTACCGAGATAAAAAGCAAAGCAGATGAAATTATAATAACAATGATGGTAGAAAATTAAGTAAAGAGAATGTAGTTTTAAAAGAACTAACAAAACATACGAAGCGACATTAACATTCAAAGTCTGGAAAAAGACAAACAGAGAACGCATCTGTGCCAGTGCAATTGATCTACAGTTATATCACCGTCTAGTGTTTCCAGTGATAAATTACGATTATTAATAAACAAACTCTGAATAGGAAGGCCAAATCTTTCTATATCGCTTAGTCTAACAGTCATCATACTACAGAGGAATTTGTAGAGATTTGTGCTGTCACGAATCTGTTGAGTGGCAACTTGGCGGTTTACAAGTCAGAAATTTGGTGAGAGAGTTATAGGCCCTGGATTCGATCCTCAGTGGGGTCGTGGATATGTAACACTGAGTCCCACACTAGGATAAAATAGTTATACAGTGCATCCTGATTATCCGACTAAGTTTAATCACGGAACAATCCTACTAATGCTATGTCCGATCGTAAGTAATTATTTTTCAATATACTCGTAAGTAACTCAGTTTAAAACGTCAGAGTTGGTGGTGCTTGGGTAAGCATAACTTAAGTTCCAATAATGTTTTGCAGCTCCATCAAGTGACTTGTCATTACCACCTGAAAACTTACACATAACGTCTTCAGTATTACTCACTCGATGGTTCAACCATATACATGAGCAGTACTGCCAAGATATTTATGATCACTTGTTCGTTTATATTAATGTATATAGACAACTATGAACCTGAGTTGGACAGGGAAATCATCAAAACTCTGAACAGAAGAAGCATGGTGAAAACCAGAGAACTTCTAGAAACCTTACACTCCGGTTACTCATCAATCAACAGATTTAGAAACTGGCACAATCCATCAACCAATGGAGAAAAGAATAATCAACTGAAAGGTCAGAAATCAAGTCAAAGAAGTATTCATTCAAAGCAAATATACAGGCAACGTCCATATAATCATAGACAAAAACCAAGCAAATTCCAACTCAACAAAATCAACTATTAATTAATTGTGGAAAAATTCTAATAGATCACCCGTTTTGCATTGTGAGCTAATGATTTTATCTAGAAAGAGAATGAGAGATTCATGACTAAATCGTCCAGCTCAGAGAATAGGATACTCCTAAAAGATAATACATATGTATAGCATTTTTCAGTGCTTATTGATTATTTTGCAATTGGTGTTCTTGTGAATAAGGAAAGACAATGGGGAATGGTCACGCAATTTCATGGATTGGTTGAGGTTAGACATTAACACCATTGGATACTGGCTCAATGATCAAGTAGGTTAGGCGTTCGCGCGCAAGACTGAATGCCCTGGGTTTGAACTTCGCAAGCGGGATCGTGGATGCGCACTGCTGAGGAGTCTCAAAATAGGATGGAATGGCCGTCCAGTGCTTCCAGGTTTTCAATGGTAGTCTAACATCAATCGGTTCAAGATCTCAATCAATAACTTAATAATGAAGGTGACAGTTAAATTTGAAAACAGTTTATTAACATGTCATCTAGTTGATTAGTTTTAATATTGACATAAAAAGTAAACCTGCCTATCGATACATAATGTATGTTGTTAATATTAATGAGACAGAGTGATAAAGTAATTACTTTTATATTACATTTTAACAATATCATTAATTATTCATGCATAGAATTCTTTTCTTTTATATAATAAAACAAACAAGAAACCACAATTTAATGAGGATATGTTCTTTTAAACAATCAGAAAAAAAATCTAAATGGCTTAGATTATTCGTTATGGTGATAAAAGTGTTAATTTGAAAACAATAAATTTCCATTTATATAATTGTAAATGAACAAACAGTATAGGAGTAGATATTTACATTGTAACCTCTTGTTCATATTTTTTTCTTCAAAAAATAATGGTTCCCTGATAATATTGACAATTTCAGTCAAACAGTTAATGGTTAGTGCTTTTCTTATTCAGTTGTACTTTTCCTACTCAAATCAAGTCCTTTAATCTATTTTTTTTTATATCTCTTATTAAATATGAAATAGATCAATAATCAAAGCTGTAATTCTTTTTGTTCGCTTTTTTCCTTCCTTTCAATCTACAACAATTCTCCAGTTAATCACATAGAAATAGGTAAATAAATTAGAGAGGGAAGAAATTGAAGACACGAAAATCAGAGAGATCACACAGTAATAAACTAAAGTTCAATACCATTTGGAAAAGCAACAGTCAACAATTTACAGGCATACACACACATGCACATCAATAATGTTAACTGATAGAAAATATCATGATAGACTAAATGATCAAGTCGTTCAATTGCAAATTGTTATAAACATTGTACATAATTATCAAAATGTATGTATATTATTTAATAATAAGTGAATGTTAGCTAAAATTTGACGTTTGTTGACAAAAGAGATTTACTATCAAGAACCTTTGTTAACTCAAGAATTTTAGCAGTAACTAATAGTTTTCAATGTGATTGATACTGCATTGATCAATTTACTTATTTATTTCCTCTTCCTTTGATTAGTCTCGTTAGTAAAACCAAGATTTCTATGGAAACGACAATCCTGTATGTAACAAACTGATATTATCGTATAAAAATATACTTGACTCAAGAATTCATTAGGTCTACTGATTTAAGTCTTAGAAAAATATATCAGTGATTTTCACTAACACTATGATGAAATAAAATGAAAATATCTTATTATTGAGCATCAGTAATCGTCTCAGAATATAATCTCATTTAATGATTATTGAATAACATCAATCTGTAATAAAGACTACTTTTAAACTAATCATTTTTTCACGGTTGAAACTGCTAGCCGATCTAAGCTAGACCACCATTAAAAATCTGGAAGAACTAGACGGCCGTTTCGTCCTAATATGTGACCCTTCGGCTGCGAACATTCGCGATCTCGCGAGGGGGAATCGGGCCCAGGACCTATGGTCTCACGCACGAACATTTACCCTTTACACTGCTGAGCCAGTATCCAATGGTGCAAGTTTTTAAATTCAATCAATCCATGATCTTGCTCAACATTTCATCCACTGCCTGAGGTGGATATCTATTTGACACCCGAGAAGGATTGGACTCCATTGGACACAGCTTAGATCGACTCGTGATTTCAACGGGAAAAATACTACGTTCTCTACCAATTTTCACACTGACGATAACCCTTTGGTACAATGGTTCGAAGTTTAGCTGCATTTCAACTATTCTCTAAGCGGTCATAGTTTGATTATTATTCTATCTCCTCTACGTTTTGACATAAGATCATAAACATGTCATCAACAGATAAGAGGAATTCATCAACGCTAACTTCTACATTAAGTCATCATGCCCATTTTGAATCAAAGCGTCATAAAAATTACAGAAGAATAGATCGCATTATAAACCTACTCACAAACTGAGATTAAATTAGAAATGAACAGACCGATTTATATATGCCTATACTATTCAACAAAGACTTGGATTATTTATCTTCAGGTCAAATTTGTCTAAGGATCTCTCCAACTTAATTAATCACCAGTCGATAAAAGTTACAGTCTAGTGGGATACCTAAAGTAGAGATTCTGAAACTACTCTCGTATGTGCTAAGCGGTTAGAAGTGGTTAATGATTCCAAATGGTTACATGTATGTTAAAGACACTAATGTTCGGTCAGAGGAATCGATCGATTGTTGATATTGTCTTCAAACACCAGTTCGGACGATCTAAATACGTGTTGTGCATATTATTTGTCAAAAGTATAGAGAGAGTCAGTTTATATATGACATGGTGTCATGAAAGTAAACCATATTTACGTTGGTGCTTGTTCGTAAAAATGTATCAAAAATATTCGTGTTACTAACCAAATATTTGTAATCCCAGGTAAGTTATACATAGTCACTTTCTCTTAGTATGGATTTCTTGCAAAACAAAGTATTGATGTTTCCATTACGTTATTAGAGAATTCGCTTAGTTTATCAATGATTTATTTTATCGTTCGATTTACATTCATAATTATTATTTGATTCATGTATTCGGTTCCACAAACAATCTTTTGTTATTGAAATTTGGAAGTGTTATTTCGTCGACAATAATAATAATATTATTATTAATAATAATAGATCACTAGCTATGTATTTTCAGTATAACATATAGGGGAGAACATAAAATGATTAAACATTCATATATTTAACTACACACATATACATTCACACACCAAAGAAACTTTAATTTAAACTTCCCATAGTCTATCAAACACAAACATACACATTAATAACAATTTGAAGTGGGATTTTACAACAAATCAATAAGGATTTATTTATATTGTTACTTTTATTGTTGATATAAAATGACTTTTTTCATTCTTTTAATCCGTTCAAAGTGGTATTCGATAGAATACAGAGACGATGGCAGCGAAATCCGACTGAAAGCCTTTACATGGGGCGCTGCTGATTACTAAGGGAAACCTTGGTGGCTAATTTGGGCGGTCCGCATAGATCGGCCTTCTCCATCACTTTGATGTAAATTGGATCAAACGGATTCCAACTCAGTGCCCACTAAATCTTGCTGGATGCCCGCTATGTATGCTTATGTACATAAACAACAAAAGTCTTGGCTTATATAGTTCGTGTATGTAGGTATATGCAAAAAATACGCGTATGGATTAGCACAAGGAACGTAAGATATGAAAATGTCTACCTTATGTCTAATGGAATCGACGGCTTGATCCTTCAGGTAGAAAATGTAATCAAAAGATATGGTGGCAAATACTAAGGAGAGGTGATCACCAATTCTCCCTGAGAGAGTGTTTATGCTTATGTATGTCCCATGGAGTGCATGGACGAAAGTGTACCAGTGGTATGCATGCGATACGTAAGAGACAGTCAGTTGCAGCAAACACGTTCGAAGAGAGCGATGACTATCTACTGTCCCAGGTGGGTAGATATGCCAATATGTATGATATGGGATGTATGAATGAAAACATTTATGTTACCGGTATGCATGTAGACTATATTTGCTCTCTGGTGCGACGCCCACGCACCAAGATCCGAGGAGTCCCAACGATTAACGCACGCAGTATCATCCATACGGTGCGTTTGTGAGCTCTGAAAACACGGAATCCAACTCTAGAAAAGCTACTCCGGCTTCACCAGATCAAGCATCACCAACCTTATATGGCTGGAACACCGTACAGAGACAATGAAGTGATAGGTATGAGCATAATCATAATAATAACCGTTTCTCTTCCCTCCCCTCCTCGTTTCACTTTGAAAGAGAACAACACTAAACACCTTTTAGCAGAGAAGTCAACGGTAGACAAGAAAGCAGCACAAACAACACATTGTAAAGCATGAGAAACTGATAGATAGATACACTGATTTTTATACGCAATGTATATGCTTATCATTATCATGTTAGTTTAGAAATGCATAGTTTCTTGTATATGGTATTATTAAAACGTTTTAATCTCTTTCATTATATTTATTAAATGCTTAAGAAAAGAAAAAGTTAACAAAAGCCAAACAGCTATGTTCTGTCCATCAACCAATACAATAAAATTTCATAAACTGTTTTATATTAGGAGGTTGAAAGCCAATAAAAAATATATTTCAAATATTTTCAATGAGTGGTGTATGATTTCTATACAGCTTCGACAATAAAGAAAATCTGTACAACCAAAACATCCTAGTTTCGAACCTAGAAAGTTGTGATTTCGATTAGGGATTGAAATTTCTAAAAAAAACGTGGTATGCAAATAACGCTTGTATATGTGAGCATAATTAAATGAGGATAAGGTGTATTCTATTTTATCTATCGTGATCAGGATGTACTTCAAACAGATAAACCCAAATACTGAGGGTCGAGTATATTCAAACTGTACAAAATAGACGATTAGTAGAGATAAGCAGTCAGAAATTATGCAATTCGTTACTGTTAATTCACTAGGTCGAGATACTAAAGGGATTGATATAAACAACAAAACAGCCGGCATAAATACATTTTTGTATTAGTTGTTTAAATTTTCCTACTGACTCAGGCAAATCGAGCTGGTGAGCCCAAAATGGAACGAAACGGGGGTCGTGAATTCTACCGCTAACCACCATTCATCTCTGTTTATAAAGACGGCATAAATGTTTATCAATAGAAATTACCACTTTCACATTAACACAAAGAGAAGGAACCCGGTTGGTTACTTTGTTCATTGATGAAATAAACGAACATTTGGTGTTTAGAAAACTTCAGTCCAACTAGTGTCTAATGTTACGTTAATAAGATTAAATCGTCTACAACTATGGATACCAAATAATGATGCATAAATTGTGGTTTTTCAGGTCAACAACTTGCTAAATTATGAAAAGCTTATGGTTTTATGATTTCCAAAAATGATCAAATTGACATTGGACGACTGAAGTGTATTACCTTTCACATCATTTTCCTAAACTGGTAAAGGTTTTCTCTAACCTCAATTTATCTCATTTCATTGAAGATCGTGATAATAACAATAAAACTGAACCATCAGACTCCAGTATACGTACTGGACTGTAGATTGCACTGTTATATATAAAGATTACTGATACTATCCAACTACTCAAACCGGAATAAATGAAGAAGGGTTACAAAGTCTTTGATTTAGTGGTTGAATGTTAAGTGTTTTCATTACAAACTCACCGATTATTGTAGTAATTATTGTTCCTCAGCAAAATTAAACTAATTTTGTAATATTCACTATAATATTGCCTTAAATTTCATTAAACTTTTCAATTATATAACAAACCTCTAGATGAGTAATTAAGCAAAGAGATTAGATGCGAAAAAAATTGGAAATACATAGTATCATATGACCAAAATACAAGTAATTGCATATACAAATTATTTTCTGAAAAATAAATTAATAATATTAAAGAAACATAATTATATGAACGGAGAATATTCTTTTCAATAATTTCTCATCAGAATCTATGTAATTGTACAATCTGATGAGAAATTATTGAAAAGAATATTCTCCGTTCATATAATTGTGTTTTAATATAATGAAAATTTTCCAGTAATAATATTTACTTGTTTAATTTTCGCATAGATAATTTAATTGACTGAAAATCTGGTCGTACACTTGGATCATCATCCCATGCTTGACAGATTAACTGAACTAAATCTTCAGAGCAACCTTCTAATGAATCTAATGTCGGTCGAAATGGTGGTTTCCTGTGTGCTTTCACTTCCTTTACAATAAACTAAGTCGAAAATGACAATAATGAAAGTGACAAGATATATAAATTGGCATTAATATAGGAGATTTGTGAAGAGTGAGGAAGTTGTTTAAATTACAAACGGATTTTAGCTAGACTACCACTAAAAACTTGGAACTCCTAGTATGGAGATCCTCAGAAGCGTGTATTTATGAATTGAACCCGAGATCAATGGGTTCATTGGTCTAGAGATTAGGGGTTCGTGTGCTACACTGAAGGTCCTGAGTTAGGAGTCGTGGAAGCGTAATTCTGAGGAGTCCTATACCAAGAAGAAACGGAAATCGAGTTCCTCCAAGTTTCCAATGGTGGTTTAGCTAAGATCAGTTAGTGACTTAAACTGTGAAAAAATCGGTTGATAGATATAGCTCTATAAGGCTAAATAAGTCATAAACAAACGGTCATATTTATGCCTTATTACAAAATCAAAACTGTATTCTTCTGTTTTTCCCACACGGATTAAAATCAGCTGGAAAGTTGAATAACTTACGTGGTAACTATTTCATTTATGCACTATAAATGTTCACCTTTATATTCATGTTATGTGGTTAAAGGCCAATGACAAAAATCCGTTGAACTAAAGTTTGATTATAGTCGACACTTATCAGCAAGAAGTATCTACAATCCTGAACGAGCTGATGATCCTTGTGAGAATCAGATCTGTACTAGCCAGTGTCATGATTAGATACGTTTTCGATACTATTCGTTCAAAATAATGGATATTTGACGCAAATTTACCTCAATCGAGATTGAAAATTAGGGGGTACTAAACAGTTATTTCATCCCCAATAGTTAGTACCTACGACTTATCCAGATGTCAAGCTCAGAAACTTCTAGTTTTATTGTGAATGCTCAACCATTAAAACTATTGAACCGGCTTCCGAAGGTAAAATTTCAACTCCGAACAATTCGCAAAATAACTCAACAATAATCCAGTGTCACTGGTGAAAACTGTTTTACTATCGACATATCAGACCAGTATCCAGAAAACCTCTTTAACTAAACTATAAATATTTAAATTATTCAAAAGAGAAAATGTTAGTACAAACTACTGTGCAATCGAAACACTTATAGAAACATATTACTCATTATTCAATATCTCTTCTGTTTAATGTGATAAATTTTTTAAAGTTTACTGATATAACCTGTGCAGGATCAATGGGAAACTACACTTTGTTACAATTAAAATATTTTCCGTAGCATAAATCAATGTCGATGTATTGATAACTTCTAATTATAAAAGATTAAGATAAAAAATGTATTATTTTCAAGGGACAGTGATAGGTATTTTCTCCACCTTTGGCTAGTAGACGGACATCTTACCCACACCAAAAATGACGAAAGTTAACAAAAACCTACTGAATTTTCTAAGTTCACACCGAGATTTCGTTAGATACCAACCCATCAAGTCTAATGAGACCCCTAAGTAAAATAGTTAATTATACTTCAAATGTCCCGAGAAAAATAGATACAATTGTATATTGAACTATTTTGAAGGGAACTATGGAGACACTAATCTTGTATGTATATGTGCATACACTTACATCTGGTTCACAATTTTTAAAATTCTGTATATAAAATACACCTTTGCGATATACAATTTCCTGACAGACAATTGCAAAGCTATAAACATCGCCTTTTATTGATTCGCGTGGATAAATAGTTGTATCACCGTCAGGTAATAATTCTGGTGCTGTCCATAATAAATCTATACAAAGTTAATGTAAAAATAAGAACAAAATAACATTATTATTGTAAATTAAAAAAACACAATTTAAGTAGAAATAAATGACTAGATTTGTAACTAGTATGCGTTGTAGATCGATATTAGTTAAAGCACCAGTAAAAAACAGAGTAATGATCAGCTATTGACTGGAACTGTAAATAAGAAATACTGGATTCCAACTCCGAGCTAGGTGCTCTACCTAAGATGCGAAGGTCTGGGCGTTCAACTCATAGAGGGATCACATATGCATACTACTAGGGAATCCATAAGAAAACATACTATTCGCAATTTTTTGTAAATTACAACAATAGTACTAATAGTCAGTGCTGAGAAAACTAATAACATAAACTCAATAATTCAGTGAGAATCCACTGAAAAGTCTATTCTCTTTATTCCAATGTCTTTGTGTTTAATCACAACAGGGGAATACGTGCAAAGACACAGTCAAAGAATAAAAAAAGAAATAACTGAAAAACATATTTTTAAAGTAAATTATGCCAGGAAACAAAAAAATACTAAAACTCCTGCAAAGTACAATAATAGGCTTACTTCGATGAAATATAAAACTGCCAACTTCTGATTCTAATGGCGGTGGACCACGTATATGTGGTAGACCGAAATCAGTGATTTTTAATACAAAACGTGAATCCACCAAACAATTGGAACTTTTCAAATTACCATGTGGACCAAATATTTGATGTAAGTACATAACACCCTTGAATGTGAGGATCAAAAAATAGATAAAGAGAAAATTGTACATTTTACATATGTATATTAAATATTTATTAACACAAATGAATAATGGATTATACTACGATGAACTGGCAAGAAAACATTTACTATACAGACTACTGACTGTAATCCAATTAAGCAATTACATGTTTTTTGGTGAAGAAGGCTGTTAGATAGACTGATTAAAACTGAGATTCAAGTTTATACTACAATGTTACAACTACTATTGCTATCACTCTGGTGTGTAAACGATGTTCTATTGATATACTGAAACTGACTAAATTGAATTTGCTCACATAATCTATGGTCGATGTGAATCCAAATAACAAACACAAAACGAAGCCTACTACGTATTAGCTATCATTTTATAGTGTCATAATTAAAACATCGTCTATCTCAGAACTAATCATTTTAAGTCAGATGAGCCAAACCAGAGGTAAAGAGTAAGTAGTACGACACTAGTTAATGCTGCAATGTTGAATAATTTAAAACCATTTAGCAACGATTCATTCATTCTGTACAAGGGACAGTTTGATAGTAGTCTTCTGCTAGGTTAAATTTAATGAATTCTTTAGAGAAAATTTAACCTAGTAACTTATATTACTCCGATTAGTTGAATTTAAGTAGTATATCCATTTGGCTTGAAATAATTAACCGGTCAGGAACTGTTACTTCGTCAATATTATTTTTATTGGAACGAAAAAGAGGGAAACATCAATCTGTACTAATTTATTTAATTACACACTTTAATTTTAACTTCATTTTTAGCAATGAAGAAAAAATGTAATCAGAAATATTGATGAGAGGCAAAAAACTAAACATGATTAAAGTCCTAGTTTGACCAGGAAAAAGTTTGGCTAAACCAACTTTCCCCTTTTTTATTTAACAAAACTAGACAGTATGTAAACAAATTAAAATTAAAATAGAATAAAAGAAAAGAGAGCAATGCCTCAAATCATAACAAACAATTAGTCTTCAATGCATATATACATATGTGGAGAGAAAGGGAAAAGGAGACTAACAAATAAATTAAATTCACTACTATTTATATGAAACCGTTTTAATTAGACGCCAAAATTCTACTTTTATAAGTTTGTTGTGTCTTTTTTCATCCCACCTTTTATTTGCGAAAAAAGTTTACAATATAACCAGAATTATTTGATGAATAGAAATGCAATTCATGAAAGACCTGTACTATTCTGAAATAGTACAAGAACGAATCGTTTATATTTAGTAAGTTTTAAATTGTAAGCTTGATTAAGATGTAATTTAATAACTAGGTATAAGGAATCTAGTATTCGATAAAGAGTTACCATTTTTGCATGTATCCTTTAAAGTCGATCACATGATAATACATAAACAGCTGGTTAAAGTGGAGTTAGAATTTGCAAACAACTGGTTGAAAACGGAATTTTTTTAACCGGTGAGTCAATGCATCCCATACAATAGATCATTAATTTATACATAACGTAGGATCTGGTACATACGTACATCGGTTCAAGTTAATTCACCATAGCAATAGCATAGTGAAATGCCCGAGTGGTAACACTATTATTGATCGTAGAAAAGATTGGGTATAGATTATATGATATAAGGTGATAACTGAAGTTTAAAAAGTCGAATTCATTATAAAAATTCGAGCAAATGAATTACGCATAAATCTATGAGAATTATAATAAGATTTGATGGGATAATTGTATCTTAAATTTCTGTAATAACATAATTCATTATAGAAGATTATTTATGCTAAAAATTTTGTCACTTAGTTTATCGTCTTATTCCAGCTAATTTACATTTTCTGTATTACCTTACTATAGGAAAAAGCTAAGAGAAAAGATTCAATACCTGAGAAAATGAATTGCCAATAAAATTCATTCGAAAGTTGTGTTTCTTTTCTAGTTGAAATAATAAAACACACTTGGAATGGTAACTAACAAATTAAAACCAGTCATAAAATAGATTATTTTTCATATGAAACTATCAAATCAGTTGATAATTTCATACTGATGAAAATAATTGACTTTCATCTGTAAAGCAATACATTCAATCATTCATTTGTCGGTCAATAGTAGATATGAATTGTTCAATTTGTCAATAGTTCTCATACTGTTTGACTAGTTCTGTTTGAAAATCCCTCAGTGAAATACATATAACTTTCTATTTAAATTACTGTAATCTACTGTGTTACAATTGACACTGATAGATATGAACAACTATCAACTATTCGTGTTATTCTATTTATTTACTAATTATTTATAACAATTGTATGATACTTACTCGACAAATATCTTGCATCAAAGAAAATTTAAACATCCAATCTAATTTGATTTGTTCATTTTCCAAAACATCTTGCAAACTTCCTTTTGGACAGTATTCATAAACAATACACTGATGTGGCACTTCTAAGCATACACCAATTAATCGACAAATATGATCACAATTTAAATCTTTAACCTGAATTTGTATGAGAAGTTTAAAGAAAACCAAGTATAACTAAGTGGTTAATTACTCATGAAGTTGAAATGATTCAATAAAATTTCGAATCTGAGTAGAAAACAAACCAAATGAACATGACAACAACGGTCAGACAATTACAGACAACAAATAATCGAATTTTAGGTCAACAGAACAAACTACTAGTCAATTGTTGAGAAATTCCAGTAGAGGTTAGTAATTTTCCCCTCTCCAAGATGAAATAGAACAATGTGTTAGGTGGTCGATAGGAACCCCTTGTCTAACCTAGCACCTCTAACCACATAACATCTCACTCAGAATAGAGCCCACTGGACAATTTGATAAATAGAATTCGGTTAGTACTGAACGACAAGTCAAATATGACATTGATTATTGCTACTAAATAATCAATCAATTGCATAGAATAAAGTGAATGTAAAAACAGAAGCGAATTCTTTGTATGGAAGTAGATGGCTTCCAACTAACCATACAGAATGACATTATATGTTACACAGCTTTGATATACAGCGTTTTATCATAAATGTATTGAACAAACTGATATCATCTAGTTGTGTGAATCTGATGTAAAAATTTGTTTTTATTTCTATTATACCATTTTTTGTTTACTTTTTATATGAAAGAAATATCTTCGCTCAATCAATAAAAATAATAATTTAAGTGGACCATTAAGTTTCTTTCTCTAAACCAACATGATATGAAATTAAACTTAAGATATTAGATGCAATCCATGTAACGATTGAATGACATCGTCATCATTAGATAAGCGAAAAATATCTCTGGCAATATCTGGGATAAATGAAGATAGGTTATTGTAAACAATTTCATAAACACAGTCACATTATTGACTTAGTGTCTCTTTAGATTAACAACGATAGTCAGTGTGGACAGATGGTTCAGATTCTAGTCTAACGATATTGACAATACTTTATACAATGATTGATTGACTAACAATATAGTTACAAATTTCGTTTTAAACCAATTAATTACATTTTCAATGAACTATATAAACAGCATTTTATACATTTAATACTGGTTCGATCATTAGACATGAGGTATACAGTAAATTATCTCTTAATTGTCGATAGATGTGAACGAAAATCCAATTACTGAACAGGCTTTATAAGAAAAAAGAGCCAAAAGTTTTTAAAAGAATTTCATTTTATTCAATTTGTTATTTACAAGATGAGAATTAACTTTGGAAAAGAAGAAGTAACACATTTCAAAGCGACTTATCGCATTCTACACTTCAAGTAACACTTTTAATAATGCACAGAGCTCTATCAAGTTGCACAAAGCGAGTGTAGTTGTAGAATTGGACTGAATTACCTTTTAAAAAAATCACCAGTGACCATAATAATAATACGACTATTAAGAACTTACTTTTTTAACTTCAATCGACAGTGCTTTGGATGGTTCGATTCGTGTTTGTCTACGTAGAGGTTTCAGAGCAACAATACTTTTCATGTAGAATGCTGTACGTGCAAACATCTGTGAATTTGCTAATTTATCTAATTGTATGCCAGAGATTGTATCTAATGAGCCTAAACTTGACTGAGAATCTTGTGAATGCTATAATAATGATAATAATATTCGGGATAAGAACACAAATAAATGAATGAATAAAAAAACCAATTCATAAATCTTATTTAGATAGTAAAAAGGATGAATAGAGTGAAGTATTTCTTTTCAGTTAATTTATCATAATGGCTATACACTACAGTACAAACGATTAACGATAATAAAACTACACTAATCAAGTAGTAATGTTGAATGTGATTAAGTGTTCCATCTTAGCTCACTTGGCTGATAAAAGAAATCAGATTGACTTGCATAAAGCCGTTAACGTTATTCATCATATTGCTATACGTTTACCACAAGGTTTATGAATTCATTTTTTTTATTCTCCTGAAGCTATCGAAATCCATATTCAGAAACCAAATTTTTGTAACCCAAGAAAAGTTAATTTAATTCCGTTGTCTAACCAGTGATATCAGCAACATAATAATGGGTTATAACAGGACTTTGATTCACCTTATTTTCTCCAAGTTTTCCTCAATTTCTTTCCTTTAATTTAGTGTTCTTCCAGAATTTTAACATTTATTTCTTCATTACTATGTAACTACCTAACATCATTTTACCAAAATATTTAGTTAACTCTCTTATTACATATTATGCAATTTATCAACTGTTGAACTGTATATTTTCCGTTTTTATAAATAATTACTCTAATTATTATAATTACTTTATCATTCCTCTTTCAATTAATTAGCTAATTATTTTATGTAATCCTCATAGTCATTTGTGAATTTATGGAGGTCAGCGCGCCGCAGACTCGACGTTCTGACGGAGAGAGTAGCACAGACTGCAGAGACGAAGAATGTGGAACGGCGAGCATGAACCACAGCAAGAACGACAGCTTTAAAGAGGGGAAAGGTGTGGTGTGTGCTACTTATATTGACATAAGTAGTATATGATGTTAGTCGTGGACAGAAGGTCTGGAAGCAGAGAGACAAGAGGATCGAACAGTAAAGAATGGAAACAGGATGCAATTTGTATGAACATGCAAGAACAATGTAGTCTGAGTCATTTTGAGACAATTGGTGGACATTTTGCAAACTAAGCATTTACTTTATGATTGTTAGATTTCATTAAAAAGTCCTGTAATTTTGTGTTAAATACATTCGATTGTCCCCACTGTTGTTCTTGTTCACTACACTACCACTACCACTACTAATCGATTTATGTTATTTTACTATAGTAAATTATTTATATTTATATTAGTGTGAAGTCATGATGGAGTTTTATTCTCTGAACTAGATGATTTGGTCGTGAAGTTTTCATTGTTAGATAAAAGTTTGTACTGATGATGTCGTTCAGAATAATGATGAAAGCTCCACGAGAAAACTATTCAGCTCAGAGAACAAAAGTCTACCAAAATCATCCAACTGAACTAAAAATTTGTTCTGTTCATTTTTGAATTCATAATTTTCAAACACTGCTTACACTTGATATAAAGGTTTCTGTAAACCAATAAAATTAGAGACAAACTATTTAAAAATGAAAAGTCAATTAATAAGATTCTACAACTGAATCCTTTTATTTCTCATTATATATTAATGTGTAACTATGTTGATATTTCTTATGATTTAATTAGTATTGATAACTTTCAAATTGTAGTTTCTTAATGTCAAAGTATGTTTCAAAGTAGGTGACTTTTTAAATTGTATAAAACTTGAATGATAATAAAGTGATAGTATTCTTTCTTTTCTTTCTTTTTGTTGAACAGTAAATCTTCAAGTGTATAACAACAGAGAAGAATAACGTTATGATTATGAATGAAATGAAAGTTTTCCATTTTAATTTATTGCATTTATATATGTGATTTTATTATTGAAACTTATGAAGAGATTTACATGGTGCATTATTGAATTTTACAGTAAATAGTAAGTTCTGATTGACATTCATCTTATTTGTTTAAAATTAATGAATCAATTTGTTATGATAAAACAACATTCAAAGTAAAATTACTTTTATTCATGATTAAACTAATAGAGAATGTATAAATTAAAGGTGAATATTTAAAGTATTAAAGTAAACCGTAACTAAAAAAGTTAGATAATTCAATGCACCAATACATGATATATTTTTAAAAAAAAAGTGAACTTGTGTATTAGTTGTAACCATAACTACACTACCATTAATTATAATGATCCATAGATAGTATATACTTTTAATTAAATTAACGGTGCACTCCAGTTATCAACAGATGAATATGGTTCACTTTAGTTCAATATTTGTGGTGGGCTATGAACGGTACACATATTCTTTATTACCTTCATATAACCAAGAACATTACATTTGCTATCCAATAGCTAATGATCATAAGTTGAGCTGTCCAAATAGAAAATTGTAACCCAACGGTTGAAAACTACCTGATTAAAGCTTTACACAATGACTAACCATTGTATATAACGACTTCTATCGTATTGCACACTATCTTATGTGCTATGTAATCTGTGAGTGGAAATAAATCTACATTATTCATATCATGTGTTATTCATAATTAAGTAACTGTCTCAATGATACCAAAACATCATATTACCACAGAGTAAATAAATGATTAATTTAGTTACTTATTTTATGAAATCGGATAGACAAACTGGAGCTATCAGTTGACAAAAAAGTGAACAAAGGCTATATAAATGTAAAATTGACTGAGTTTATTTATTTATCTATTTATTGGCAAATTGAAAAAGTAATACAAGTCAACATTAATTCTATGAATTAATGATACGTGTTAAAATATTCATACAAAATATTTTAAAATTTCGAACATGTAACTCCCATATTTATCCATATGATCCCTCAATAAAAAAAATGCTCTCATCTTCTAACTGAGACCCTATAATTTCTCTGTGAAAAACTTAGGACAGTTAAATTTGATGATTCACCGAATAAAAGATGCTTAATACAACTCAATAGAAGAAGCTTAGAGATAAATCCGAGTCATAAGGTGAACACCAACAGACTATGTATAAAATGTAAATGAAATGATCAGATTAATAAGTTTTAGATAAAATAAAACAAGTAGTTTATACTTTACAAATCAAAATATTTTATAGTTTAATTTTCATTCATAAAATATTATTGAATATAATACAGAATATACAAATATACACATACGTACACAATTAGAAGTATTTTATTTGTCTAATCCCTTTCTCACTCAAGTGAATGTCGGTTAATAAAAACATAGTATCCGCTTTTCTTACGTAATTCTCTTCACCAATCATGATAACTACTTTCAACTCTAATAATCAACAAATAAATGGGAATTAATTTCTTCAGTACTTTGTTACACACATTCAAAGTGTGGCAATGAAGTAAGACAGGGAAAAAAACTCCATACGAGAGTTGTTTTTGCTATACAGGAATAAATAATATATACATATATACTTCTCCTTTCTTCGTTTTATTTAATGTTACTCATATTCCCTAATGTTTTCTCTTCCTCCCTCTTTCTCACGTCTGTATATATATATATATATATATATATATATATATATATATATATATATATATATATATATATACTTTGTCCAAATTGTCATTTCATCATCATTATCTGTAATAAATGTACTGGATAACTTAGTAAAACAGTAAAAATGATCCATGCAGAATAAGAAGAAAAGTAGATAGACAAAGTTGCTGCATATCAATACGTAAAATACAATAATTTGTATTTATATGTATATATATTGTATGTATTCTGTTTTTTAACACCGACAAATTAATGTACAGTACGGGGAATGATATCAATAAATGATAGTAAAGAGTTATTAAATTAGTGAATAGTTCTATGTTTTAGGTATGTATAATAAATTTTTAGTCACAGACTTCACTAGCGCAGTGAGAAAATAAAAAAATATATACCTAGAAAACAGCTTGGATGAAACAACTACAAAGAGAAAAGATAAACAACTACGAGGCTAAAAACCCTAGTTATGCTTGAGAGGAAGAACAAAATACACATTAATAGTCCAAATCATTCAGGTACGGCTTCATTGTATTCAACTATTTTTATTACATTAGTAACATCGATTTCGACGATGAACTCAACAAGAAACAAAGAGTTAGGGTTCGAACTAAGTGCCTCATGATGCTGCAAAGGAGATCAAAAATTTATCATTGATAAAAAACACTTGGAAAGAACATAAGTTTTTTGAAAGTAATTATATGCTATAACTGACGGGTTTTAATCGTTACAAACAGTACCAAGAGTAAGACACTATAAACATTCATTTCTTAAAAGTGCTGAAAAAATCCTAGAAGACAAAATTGTTAAATATGATTAAGAGTGGACATTTTTGAAGTTAGAATGATAGAGTTTTTAAGACTCCACTGTGATAAAAGCAAGCAAAAAAGGAAACAACTTCACTTTTATCTCATAGGGGGAGGCGAGAGGAAGTCAATGGTACTTAGCATATTTGTATTTAGAAGTGGAATAAAGATGGAAGGAGATAAGCATATCCGCATCGTCGAGAATAAGTAAACTGAACACTTCTATTTTTAAAACAAGAAACTTAGCCTTCTCTTATAAACACATATAAACTTGTCCTTTATAGAAACAAACAATAAATAATTGAAAATGACAGAATATGGATTCCACTGCTAGCCATATTTCATTTATTTATAGTGATATAATGGATATATCGAGGCGATTTGAACTGGATGCAAGCACATATATAAACTAAGACTGACCGAAATTCAATTAGATATATCAACAAATAGATAAACAAACACAATTACAAACAAAATCAAAATTTATACCCATTGCGTAAGTGAGTGGCTACCTGGACATAGTAGCTAGGCCAAATATCAACTGAGTGTCATATGTTGAATTTCTTATTTTGACTTAAAAGTTATTGTCAATGTTGTAACGGGTGTGACTGCAGGTTTTGATAAGCAGCGTTTATATCGACCGATTACAGTGGACACGTAAACACGTAGTGGACGACCTAGTGCCCCGATTGGCCCTGCTTTGTTGTCTGTCCTAGCCAGTTGAGTCAAGAACACAAGTCACAGCCTCTGAGTTATGAATCATTATATTTCAAACATACTTTGTTTATATACCAGTCAAGCATACCACATCGTACCATAAAATAGAAAACACCGTTTTGTACAATATTCAACAAGTGAACAGATATCGACCAATAGGAAATGTCCATTTAAAGTCCAAGGACACCATTGGACTTAGCATGATAATTATTGGTCTATTCCTCCGCATCCACAATAATCAAGAACATAATTATTTGGCTACAAAAAACAATGATCTGCTATGATTCAGGAATTCTTATAACAATCATAATATACTGTTTTTCTCAGTGACTTGAATATACTTATATGTTATTATTAATTACATAAACAACGCCAGATGAATAAGTATAGACATGAACAACCATAGAATAAATTTTCCAACTATCAAACCTTTATCCCTTTCCAAATACTAAAACATTTGATGCACCGAATTAATTGAATTCGATCAGAATAATGGTAGAGTCATGTAATTGACCAATTATTCACTAATCAGGAGTAATACATTGTTGTGAAATATTTTTCGTCAGCACAAAGAAACATTTCAGTGTGTTGCCTAAAAATATTAATAATCGTTGTTGTCATACATATTCTAACAAGAAAGCTTTTTGGTAGACATTATTTATTTAGTTGGTGATAAAATTGAACGTGCTAGGAGATGGTTAGGAATATGTTTTTTAAATTAAAAAAATCTGAAATTGTTTACAAATAAAGAGGATTACCACTTAAAATAATGGTCATTGATCTTTTGCTCAGACTAACGAAATTGCATTTTTATCACATTGGCAAAAAATGCTTTTCATTGTAGTCGTGAAACGACATAAGTTAAATAACTATTGAACAGCCGTTTCTTCCTAGCACGAGAACTCTCCAGCTGCACGCACCCACTCCTCTAGACCACTAAGCCAGCATCCAACGGTGTTAATGTCTGACTTCAATCAATACACCACGTTGCGCTACCGTCTTCTATTGTCTTGGGTGGGTAAATGCCTTAGGACCGACACGGATTAGCTCAAATGGTCACGGCCTCTCACTAGAAATGCCGAAATTTTCTCTTAAGCTAGTCCCTAGTGAGAATTGATAATTGTTAGTAAAGTGTTGTGGAGACTTTCGAGTTAAAAAAATGCATTTAATAGTAGAAGAATAAACAAACACAATAGAATGTTGTGCATATAAGTATATTAATAAAATGTTTACGCACTGACATGTTTTTCACAAATCCCCATACTCAAAAAAGGCTTCAATAAAACAAATCACAGAGTGTAATTAAACTTAATGGATCAATGTTTGTACGTACTTATCAAGTAGGCTGTTAGCCATAACCTATTATATTATGCCAAACGATGTTACTTCCTGATTTAAAATTTATAAAGAGAAATAATCTATAACATATTAGTTAGTAGTAAAATATTTTTAAAAGAAGCATGAGTTCAAAGGATCTACACCATTCATTTAAATCAAAGCAAAGACTGTTTCAACTCCACCTGGAGCTCCTCTAGGGATACTGCTGATCCCAAGCTCGAATAAAGGAAGAGGGTTGAGCATGGGGGTTAGTGACCCCATCCAGTAGAAAACTAACTCGTTGGAAACCATTTAAACTCTGCCCTAGGTATTAGAAGGTCTGCATTTAGAAGAGTTATGATGTCTCATGATGAAAGCCGAGTTTCTTCGCGAGTCACGAGGCTGATACCCCTTCTATTAACCAGAGCAACCATCTATTTAAGTACATGGAATGCTCGTACAATGTGGGAGACCGGGAGAGTATTCCAAATTGCTGCAGAAATGAAGAGATACAACCTGGAGGTGCTTGGAATCAATGAAACACACTGGACGCAGGTTGTACAAAAAGACTAGCTCCAGGAGAGCTGCTGTTACACTCCGAACACGAAGAAAATGCTCCACATACACACGGAGTTGCACTGATGCCATCCAAACAAGCACAAAAAGCACTTATAGGATGGGAATCTCACGAACCCAGGATCATTAAAGCCTTCTTCAAAAGAAAGAAAGAGGGCATTACAATGAACATCATCCAATGCTATGCGCCTACCAACGATTACGATGAAAACTTTGGAGATCAATTCAACGATAAGCTGCAGTCAATCGTTGAGAAATGCAATGAGGTACAGTGGACAGTTAGGATGCAGCTGGAAGATCTAGACTTCGCAGATGATCTGACCCTCCTATCACATATGCAACAACAAATGCAAGAGAAGACGACCAGTGTAGCAGCAGCCTCAGCAGCAGTAGGTCTCAACATGCACAAATGGAAAAGCAAGATTCTCCGATACAACACAACACGCAACAATCAAATCACAATTGACAGAGATGATTTGGAAGATGTAAGAAGCTTTACATATCTGAGCAGCATCGTTGATGAGCACGGTGGGTCTGTTGCAGATGTGAAGGCGCGGATCGATAAAGCAAGAGCAGCATATCTACAATTGAAGAACATTTGGAACTCAAAGCAACTGTAAACCAACACCAAAGTCAGGATTTTCAATACAAATGTCAAGACAGTTCTACTGTATGGGGCAGAAACCTGGAGAACTACGAAAGTCATCATCCAGAAGATACAAGTGTTTATTAACAGTTGTCTACGCAAAATACTTCGGACCCGTTGGCCAGATACTATCAGCAACAACATACTATGGGAGAGAATAAATCAGATCCCAGCGGAGGAAGAAATTAGGAAGATGCGCTGGAAGTGGATAGGACACATATTAAGGAGAACGCCCAAGTGCGTCACAAGGCAAGCCCTCACTTGGAATCCTTAAGGCCAAAAGAAAAGAGGAAGACCAAAGAACACATTACGCCGGGAAATGGAGATAGACATGAGAAAAATGAACAACAATTGGATAGAACTAGAAAGAAAGGCTCAGGATAGAGTGGGTTGGAGAATGATGGTCGGCGGCCTATGCTCTATTGGGAGTAACAACCATAACTAAGTAAGGAAGTAAAGACTGTTTTCTTTTTTGGCACTTATTCTGTTAATTGCTTTCACTTCCCAACTATGTATAGTCATTATAGATAACTTTGAAGAAAATACTTCGGTCGGATTGCTACCATTTAAAGAAAAAATTATTTAAGATTCAACGTGTAGAGAATTTCAGGAACCAAATAGTTTGTGCAAAGCAAACACAAGAGCCATAATAAGAGGGCAATCTATAAATCGATCAAAAAACTCTTTATCATCATTAAAAATTTCAATCGTACTCATCAAATTTTTCGAGATGATGACTCGGAAGAGAATGTGTGTATGACAAGTTCTGGTTATGTCACACGCTAAAAAGTTATGAATGACATGACTTACAAGTTTAGTCTTATTCAATTAGGTGTCTTGCTACTAGTAACAACACAATATTAATACAAACCAAAAAAATATTTTAAGTATAATCTCTTACTAACTAATTTTTAATAAGGAAAATGACACTCTACCTCACCTTTTTCTTTTTGAAAAAATCGAATTCCATTAACGGATTATAATCAGACTAGATTGAGGAAAACAAACACAAAGAAGAGAGAAAAAGAAACAGAAAATAAAATGAATAATGTAATGAATGAATGAGTGAAGAATGCACAATCCTGAACATTCCTCTATATGAAGAATGATAATGAATTAAAACAAAAAAACACTAATAAATAAATAAGCTAGCTCATTTCGAGCAGAAAAAAGTTAGTTTTTGTCACAAACACAACTAAATAAGTTATTCTGACTAATCAATAATGCATCAATCTTTTCATCAAATAGATGTTATAGTAGGTTTTGAAGAACTGATTACCTAGGGAATCTCCATAATAAAAAGCATAATTGCGTCACTGTTCATCAAATGACATAAATTGTAGATCCGTGAACAAAACATCTACTTTTACACCAAGGATATCAAGGACAGAACACACTTATCGGTCGCAAAAGTTATCCGGTAAATGTAGACAATATAAGAATCTATTAAATAATATGGTAACTGGTGTTTTCAGATTATCACTTTAGCTTAACAGAAACAATAAACATTAAAAATTTTCAAGTTAGACATAGAATCTCAATGAAAAGAGATTAACCGAAGGATATGTATACAAAGTCGATTGGTTGACATAATCCGACGATATATTGTTCACATCTGAGAACCAACTACTCCATGAAATATCAGATAAATAAAATGTAAGGTAGAAAAGTTTTTAAATTGTAGCACTACAGAAAGCTAATTATGTAAGTATATAACTTTAAATAAAGTCAATGGTAGTTCATAAATAATCGTTCGGAAATTGTATGCCAATAGACAATTCAAAACCAATAGTAACAATACAAAAGTTACATTTATCCTACCACCACCATTAATCCTCAAGTATTTAGTTATGATTTATACTTTTCCATTATATTTCTCCTTTATCGACGTTTTTCCAATAATAAGTTTCAACAAGTTTCAAGTTTATTGTATATCAGCTGATATACATTAAATCTCAAGTATCTTGTCTACATTCTATTTTTAAACATATCAACGTGAAGTTGTGGGAAAAATATTATAGGAAGGAACAGTTTATACCTTACATTAATAACAATAATAATAGAACTTACATCCATCCCAACACTATCATGTTTCTTTCGATATTTATTTTGTTTATTAGTAAACGTATAATCAAAAGACGGGTGTTTAAAGTAAGTCCATTCTGGCATTCCTTTACTATTTTGTCCGTTTGTTGGACTATTAATATCAATCACTTGATTTTCATCATTTGTCTTACTCCGTCTAGATAAACGATGTTGACGTTTATTTGCATTAACTCCTTGTAAATGCGTATAGCCAACATAATTAGATGGTGATGTAGTTTGTGAACAAGACTCTTCAAATACTGTCGGTGGTAATATTATCGAATCACCAGCGAAACGAGCTAAAAATCTTCCAGAAGTTGATGTTTTTCGACGCTTTTTATCAGTGGGTAAATTTGTACCAGTTCCACTAGAATTACTCCCGGAAGAATTAATAGCAGACAAAATAAGATTACTAAATGAAATTTTACGATTTGGTTTCTCTGGAGAAATTTCATCGACTGTTGTACAGAATTCAACTGTATTTGAATATTGTGTTGGATTTTCATTGTTTGTTGGATCACTACCAATGAGTAAAGATTTACTTGCTGCAGCGGTACATGTTTCCGATGATATTTTTCTCAACGGATCAGATGATTGGTTAGGTGAACGAATATCACTCTCACGTCGATAACGTCGTAAATGTTTTTCTGTCACTAGCAACGCATCCCATGGGATAATCCAATTCATAGCACGTAGTTCCGCCTGGAATTTAGCACGGCTACAAAATGAAAAAGAAAATTATAGCAGGACCGAGTCACTCATCCTCATTTTGAACCATATGTGGTTCTCAATCAGTAAGTCAGTCACAACGTAGAACCTAGTACGTATGTACATCGGTTTAATTTGCCACATCCTACTAGTGCAGAGGGATGAAAGTGTAAGATCGAATCCCAAAATAGTAGAGGAAGTAACAGTATCAGTGGTAATAAAAAGATTAGGCATCGAAGATACGACTTGAGAAGGGAATGCAAATTATTGAAATAATGAAAAGAATGGACGAGGAATTTAGAATTTGAAAGAAGACAAAGAATGCATGTACCTAAGAAATAACTGATCATTTATGGATTGCATATCAGATTGCTTTTCCTAGGATATGCTTTAAATGACAAATTGTTAAGGTTTTTAACAGAAGTGAGATTTTGTCAAACCCGTTTCATTCGACGGTTATAACATAAATAAATATTTACTTAGTTAACTTTTAATTTGTCAACTCTAACAACTTTTTTTTATGAGAACACATATTAGATAAATATGGATCTAGTAGACACTAAATGAACATGGAGATAATAAATGGAGGCCGTCTAAGATGGACCATAGCATCATTTTGTCTAGAAAGAAAAACAAGAATAAAAAGTGGCAAACAGGACCTAGTTTTATTTGCAAATAATTTGAATTATACTGTTTTCAATATTCTTGACTGAATTTTGACAATTCTTATCTAGGACATTTGTATTCTGTTTAGATTGCCACGATATAGATGCATTGTAACAATTTTTATGGAATACATGAGTTGGAGATTGTAGTGGAATGCAGGACGAGCGTTTCATCCTATTTGGGACTATTCAGTTGAATGGACTTGAATCTCATCTAGTCAAAATATCAACAAAAGAATAAAGCGAACTTCTACAATTTAAAATGAGGTGGTACTTATTACACAAACTGGTGGCTATCAAAACTCAGGAGCTCAGAGGATAATACGTTAGTGTTTAATTCAGTGCTCCATAATGTAAGTTTGAATGATGTTTTATCTGTGTAAACTAATATAATTAAACACTAGGATAAGGTAATTATTAATAAGCAGATAGAATCAAAAGAGAAAGATAGGGAACAAAAGAGTTACAAAACGGTAATTATATGTTTTATTTTTCAAAACAATGTGATGGGTGTGAAAAAAACAACAGACACCGATACAACCAAAATACAATGCAATTCAGTAGTATCTAATAATAAAAAAACGACGTAACCTATGATGATGATTGATGATGACAATAAAATGAAAGAAAAATATAAAATACCAACGTTTACAATCAAAATAACTATCTATATGAGTTGTCTTTGTTCTCTCTTTTATTTAATTTGTTAGACGATTGTCAATTGATCGATGATGTAGTTTAGTTTATTTTCCTATTATACAAACAGATGATCGAGCGAACAGAAATAGTAAGATAATTTTCTATTCATATACCGTGGCAGCTTAAAAAAACAGTTGGATGGTGAATCCTATTGAATTAGTCAAATGGAAAACGTCAAACTGCCCGAAATGTTGTTCTAAACTATATATTGGAGCTTTCAATGTTTGAACCATATGTAGAATCTGACAACCAGCTTCTTTTGCTAGAACTCTAAAACCCTGTGCCATTGATTCATGCTGAACCTCAAAAACATGTATACAGGATCAAAGTGAGCTAATTCACTTGACGTTATATAGTCAATATAGAGAACTTGCACGACCTACTTTTCATGTATCTGGGGTCTTGAATGTTAATTTCTTGAGGTCTCATTAGTCTAGGTATCAGATTAAATTCAAAAGCTGAACATACCTTCCTACACTGGGTTCCAGTAGACAGACACTTGTGCCCTACCAGACTAAATAGGACAATAAGAACTCGGAAAGATAGGTACAAACGTCGCTTTCTCCTCAACTTCACTAATTGAAGTTCAGATGGAATAAGAGATAAGCTTTACATAAAACTTTCTGCTTTCATTTCAAAACCGAAAACCTCAGATGTGGTAATCGTAAGAAACGATCTTAATGCTAAAGTACGCAGTCTGAATCAAACCGAAAAGTACTCAAGGTTTAATGGTGTAGTGGTTCAGAGAACAGATAACAGTGACCATCTGATGCAACTATGTTTAAATAACGGTTTGTTTCTTGCAAACTCCAAATTTAGGTAAAAGGCATCCCCTAACGCTGCTATCCACCATAATCGACAAAAAGACGAATCTAAAAAGACTATATCCTCAATAGCTATCGTTAGAGTGGCTTGATAGAAGACTGTCGGTCATTCCAAAGTACGAGTTTAGACTCTGATCACTCTCAAGTGTGAGCGCGTGTTTGCTTGCGTTTTAGTGGACGCAGAAAAGTCACAACAAGAAACCTCCTAGAGCTCAGTTAAACAACGAAAAAATCAAGAGCATATTTTAAAAGCAACTACATAAACAATCCTACAGTCTTCAAAATGATGTTCACCCCGATGTACGTTGGTATCATATCCAGACAGCTGTGAAAACAGAAGTGATGTCTACCAGTAACTCAAACCAAAAGGTTAAAAAAAGATAGGCGAATTTCGACAGAGTCTATTTAGTTAGTCGATATTTGGAAACCTACCCCGTCAAGTTTCGAAAACAATGAGGAACGGAGGTGATTCAAACTTAAACCAATAGAAGGTCTACACGATAATAGTGAATAGTGGTGGGTAGTGGAAGCAAAAGAGATGCAAAAAGCATCTGCGGCAAGTAAAAGTAGACAACTTTTCAGACTTTTCAAAGAAACAGGCAGTAAAAGGTTAGGTGTTAGTGAAGCTACATCAGAAATAAACGGGACTATGATATACACCCAGACTAAACGATTGGAATTATAGGTGGGACACACGTACTACTTCAAAACAACCAGAATGTGAAAATGAAAAAAAGTTCCTCGACTTTCAATGGAGACGAAAAGGTTATAATATAGCTAATTTAAAGTGGGTTCTGATAGACTAACCCTAGAAATTTTTTAAGATAATAGTCCAGTTTTAGCTGTCAAATTGATTGAAATATTAGCTAGAATCTGAAAACTGGATATAATCCTATCTGACTAATCCCGGTTATTAATAATTCCAGTTTGTAAGAAAGGATAGAAGCCCTCATGTTCTAACCACAGAGGAATAAGTTTGACTAATGCAGAGTCAACACCCGGACTAGTGATAGAGAGTGAAACGGTTGAGAGCCTTCCATCAACTCTGGTGAGTTGGTGTTTGACGAAATCTCAGCACAGGTTTAGGAAGCGTATTTGGTTCTTAACGATTTGCATCATTTGTGGAGCAGGTGAGGTGTTCATTTATCAACCGAATGGCGAGTACAATATTCAGTAGTTCGTTCTGTGTTACTGTATGTCTGTAATATGTGCATTTTAATAACAAAGGACATTTGTAGGTCACTATTATTCAAAAATGGATGTCTTCGAAGTATTGACCACGTATTTTGGAATCACTAAATAGAAAATATTGAGGTTATGCAAAGGGGATTACTAGGCAAGGGATGCAAATCCATCGACGAGGTGGCGTGTCTTTATCTTGTTGGTACTGAAAGTTGGAGACGGTCAAACCAAGGGAAATGAAATCAGTTCATTAAGTGATTGACTGTTGGACTGGACAGTGCTAGTAGATCCAGACTACCTAGTTGGGATCTACGCGATTATCTTAACCACTAGTGGTTAGAAACCACGAGTGATATGCCCCAGAATCGGTCACATAATGTAGATCCATTCATTCTTTATCTTCCCTTAGATCTTAAATTTAATATTCTTTTTCATAAGTATATAGCTTTTTCCAGATATCTCTGATACGTTTCATCCATACATTATTCAGAAACAATTGGATTGGATAACTTTTGCCCATATGTCAGAAACACACATGTTCAACAGTGAACATTGAGTAGCTTTTTTTGTCTCGAAAAATCAATAGAAATTTGTGAAAATAATAAACAAAATGTAACGTAACATCACAATAGCACACAAAAAAATGACGAATCGATTATTAGAACAAGAGATTAATAGTTTTTCACTTACCGATAGAATATTATTCCCAAGACTAAAGACATTGTCATTAATAAAATAAATACAACTGCACCAATAATTCCAATATGAATAAAATCTGTAATTAGATGAAAATTAAATTAGTGAAAAACAGAAAGCCTAATAAAATTATATGACCTAAGACAACTCAATTTAAGTTGATGATGCTCATATATAATATATGTCAAACGATTATACTGATTTTGGTTACTTAATGAATAATTTTAAATAGAATAAAATCATTTTATAAAATAGTAGAGTAATGGTGTACTGGCAAGAATACATAAATATAATATTCTATAATTACACAAGTATGATTATGTTCGCTTGACGATAACTATCAAATGAATGACCTTAGAATTAATACTACGGATAGTAAAACATACTGCTTTAGTGTTGCGGATTTATGCAAATATTTAGACATGGTAATTAAATAATAGTATTCATCAACAGAGTGTCTTTGATAGATTTAAAAAATTTTATTTGAATATATATGATCCGATCCCTACGCAGAACAGATTGGGATTTTAAAATTGAAAAGACCGCTGTATACAATGGTTAAGATCGACTGTTATCTGTAAAAAAAAGTCCAACAAAATTCCACAGGCTACCATGAATGAGTCAACCAGGCTTAAGATAACACCCCTCAGATTTTTGGGCGAAGTTTACAGCACAATAAGGGCTAGTTTGTATCTCACTATTAGCTAAGTAAGAATTATCCATATCTATTTCTCAAAATCCTTAAGTCAGTCAGCTATAACGTAGGACGAGGCACTGAATGTGACATGGTGTGTAAACTTAGTTATAATAAATGTCTGATACTAATACAAGTTGTATTGAAGAGTACTTAAGGGAATACTGATGGATGTTTGTATAGTTAAAAACAACTCATTAACTCCTAATCGTAGCTCTTAACCCTAATCGTTATAAGTTTATAAACAAAAGGATGTCAATATAAAATATTGACCATATGGTTTATGAAATTCCATACTCATCTGTTTATTTGCTTATATATATATTAGATTATCTCTTTTGAGAATAAAAACGATAACGATTATAATGACAATAATAATAATAATAATAATAATAATAATAATAATAATAATCATTCTGATAATTCAATATACGATTATTATTACTATTAATATTATTATTACTCGCGCAAATGGGACAATGTAAGGGGAGAAGAAACGATGAAAAATGATTTCTTCTTCTATAACCTAACTAACTCATCTCTATGACCATCTGGCTGTTAAGAATAATAACTCAAATTATCATTAAATCATCATATATTAATCAGTTTCTTCCTGTATCTTTTTCAAATTTTTCTTTTTCATTTCCAACAAATTGTTATGATTACTATTAGAACTTTAATAAAATTAGTAGTATTATCATGATTATTTCTTCTTTTTTTTTAAGCATGAATTTGTTATTGACTCACAAATGAAGTTTGAACATTCATTCACTTTACTCATAAGTTAACCGACTAATAAACTAGTCATACACAATCAGCTAGCCAACTAACCATGTGAGGGATTAAATGAGGCTATAAAATTATAAGAGTAGAGAATTTCATGACATAAGTCGAAGTAGGGTTAGGGGTCACATGATCGCATGGTAGGTAAACAATAATTCCAGTCACTACTGATCAATAGATCTATGGACATGTATACAACTTAATACTTTAATGTACTGAACTCCCACCAACACGGACATCTTTGTCTATTACGTATTTATTAATTATTTTATTTATGCAGATTAATAGAAGAAAAAGAAGAATGACGATAACACTAAAAGTGAATGACAATTATTATTATGATATATATGTATGAGAAAGAACCAGAGAATGTAGACAATAAAACACAATAATAATGTCAAATAATTATCATAGATTAAAAACAAAAAAATTGAATTTCCAGTGTATTCGAACTGACGATGAGGAACAAAAGAATAAATATGACCATTTAATAAAGATAAAATAATATTTCATGAAGAAAAATTATCACAGATTGTAAGCAGCTGACGAGAACCAAACGAAATAAAGTGAATTCAGGCCATTCTGCTGAAACCCTTATTCTTTCTCTCTTCAAAGTGATAAAGGGAACTATACGTATGAAAAATAATGTAACCAAACAAATGGACAAACCGTAAGATAAACATGAATATAAGTATACTTCAGTGACTTGTATTGGGAAAAGATTTATCTTGTTTGCAATGATCATTACAAATATCCAAAAACGATAAAGTACATCAAGAACAACAACTGTGAAATTAATACAAACCGATTTTACCTCATGGATCTCACATACTGAAGATCTTAACAAAAGCTATAGACAATAAGGTAACCGTATCAAAGCTGTGTCACTAATGCTGAATTATCTAGCTTCAAGGTCTACATAATTCGAAACTCAAAGTTCCCAACATTTTCAGTAGTATGACAAACCTATATTTAATTGATAGCACACATAAAGGTGGCATTTTACAATCGTCTATGATAGTGAATATTAAATCGACACTTTTACATTATGTGTCAAGGGGGTATTTTATCACCAAAAATTGAAAACCCAAATTACGCGTTGATCAGAGAACATCGGTCAATTTATCACGACCATTAGATTGAAGTGTACATTTATGAAGAATTTCTTTAACTGTTGAATAGGAAACCATTTACTGTAGCAGCATCATTCAACCAAATACAAATTCAATCAATCAGTCAACCATACAACATAGAACCCGGCGAGTATGTGCAAATATGTTCAAGATGTCGTCAAACAACAACCTATCGGGGTTGATAAGACGTCCAAAATAAGTCAGATGGTCAATTTGCTCGACTACCTCACATCCTATTATTAGTTTAGATATTGACACATTCCAGTCCTGAAATAAGAATTTACATTAAGGAGGATAGAAATGTAACCTGACGATTGCTCACAGTATTCATCAGTGCGGCTAAAAGATTTCGTATTTTTTTAAAGCGTTTTAACTAAATAAAACATTATCATCGTATTATGGGTCAGTAAGTATATCTCCTGTTATGAATACAATAGTCCCTAGTGTTATCAATCCTTAGTTTTGACTTTATTGAATCCATAAGTGCTATGACTTTCTAAACTAAAACTTTGCAAAAATTTATCTGAAAACAAATCTCTAGTTAGGACTAAAATATGTTTAGTTGGAAGTGTAGATTTTAACTACTTTTAATTAAATTATAATGAGAATGTTATCTCCGTTGACAAATACACACATATATATAGGGAGGAAGTACAAGAGAAACGGATAATTTCAGTTCTGAACGGTTTATAATTTATAAATAGGCACTTCTAATGAAATATTTAAAGTTTTAAATGTTTAGATTGTTTTTTAAGGGCAGATAAATTTTCAATCGTAAAAAAGTCATATGAATAATTCCACTCTGTGTGTCCCAATGAGTGTTTTGTATTTCTTATTTTGTTCGCAATAATTTGAGTGGTGAATTAATTTATTCATGAATACAAGAAGTTAATGATCAATTGCATAATATATCTTAGTTGGAAAAAGAAAATATTCCTGTTATCACATTCTTGAGAAATATCACTGGGAATAAGATTTATTATTATTATTATTATTATTATTATTATTATTCAGGTTTATTCAATCAGTCTCTGAATGGATCTTTTTTGATTTCTCATATAAGTTAACAGTCAGAAATCGAAATAGTTGACAGATACGAGAAAATTGAAGTACTCATGAAAAAGAAAACAGAAATTCAATATCTAATAAAAAGATGATGAAATCATCAGCTAATTTTTTAATAATGGAAATAGTATTAATTAATAATAAATCACATTTATTGTTGTTGTTATCGTCATCATCACTATGGTCTGTTATTTGATCTATTAAATTAATGTCAATATCAAACAATCAATAATCGGATAACTAATATCGTTGAAACAACACAGTGATTACAGATATATAATAAGTACCACATTACAACTCATATGAAGACATCTAGATTAAAGATGTAAAGAATGATTGTTTTACTGGATATTGAGCCGCATCCAATAATAATAATAGTGTAGAAAGTTGATCAATGATATTTGAAAAATGGTTTCCCAAAAATAACTCCATAACCGTTATATTCAGATCATACTGATCATAACATATGACTAATATGGACGATTACTAACTGTCTCAAGATTAAGCTAAAATAATTCACATTTCTGGCTATATAGAGGAAAAGTAGATAAGAATACTGACTGCATTACATTTCTTGTATCTGAATGATTTGATATAGTCAGTGGAAAAAGAAAAACTAGACGATGTATAATTTCAGTTTTCAAGCAAAAATGATAATAAAATAAATAACACATGAATACTTTAACAAGAAGATCAGTTTTATGTAACTAAATGGGTAAGAACCAAACTGAACAATGTGTTTGATCGGACACCATTGGAAGCTTAAAGATAAGATAAACGATGTACATGTTACGTTTATTAATGCTTACATTAAGACAATAACCAGTAAAAAATGTTCTGGATATTTTTTATAACGTGTGAAGTGTACATAATAACTGATTATGAAGCAATAAGTAGCATGTGAGCAGTTAACCAAACTGATAAACCACACAATAAGATATTAGGTATATTATAAATAAATGGACTTTTCGACAGACTACCCGTAAACCATACAATATGAAATATTGTGAATACTGATATCGAGTCATTTAATTTAATGACCATATGGCAAATTTAATCGAAAACCATTTTATCAACATAGAAAAACAAGAAAAAAACAATACAATAATTACTAGTTTATATATATATATATATATATACTGATATGAGAAGATAAACTGAAATAAACACCGTTAACAAAACTATGAACTAAGTCCAAATTCAGCATGATGTTAATATTCTGACAAATTTAATTACTAATGCATTAGAAGAGTATTTATTATGAGTAGTATTATTGAATTGGTGTATACATCACAGTATTGAAATGAATAAGTTGAATTTCTTTGAAATAACTAATCTAATAAACAATTTTTGACTTTCAAGCCAAAAATAAAGAACATTTTCATGACAATGAACCTTTAATAGAAGAAGTTAATTATTTTTCATTTACTGTCATTAGTTTAACGTTCAAATATACTATAAAATTGAACTATTGTTAATAGTATAGCATATGAGATTAATGAGTTTAAGTAACAATCTCTTGATAGAAAAAATAAACTTCTAGTCTATAAGTAGGTTGTATATTGATTATCATCCATGTATTCATCAATACAACCTTCTAAGAAAGACAATATCAAAATTATCAGCATAATTGAACTGGATGATACACTAAAACAGTGTTAGGTAATTTATCTTATGAACAAAATAAATACTAGTTTGTTTAATCTTAGTCAATAACAAATGATCTTTAAATGAATTGTGGAAATTTGATCAGATTTTTTCTTCACTAACAAAGAAGAAAAAAAAAGCTATCTAAAATAGGTATTATTTTACTTAGTTCAATGTAAAATAGAAGTAATCATTACTACAAAGATATTAAATTGTTATATTTTAACATATGTACAAATCTTAAATATTTAAGAGAGTACTTTTAAATAATTCTATCATTAGCAATATGAAGTGTTATTCTCTTTTGAAATAATTATGATTGTTATAAATTTGTTCTCATTTTTACTGTTACTATCCTCATACACACTAACACAGAACTTCATTCATTGACTAATGAAAGAGGAAAAAATAAACTTACGACTATTATGACATTCGGAACCATCGAATCCACATGGTGGTGTATGCAATGGAGGTTGATTATCAGCATTTATCCAATCAATTGTTCTACCGGGAACAGTTGATAAAGACTTATCATTACCAAAATAATTTACGACAACCTATTATTATTTTTTTTGCAGAAAAGAAAGAAGGGAACAAACAAACGACAGAAGAGGGTGAATACATCATAAAAACAAAAAGAATAAAATACTGAATTAGGTGTTACGATACGAAACGAGTACGATCAATTTTATTAAATAATCAAAAAGAACATTTTTAAATCAATACATAGTAACTTACGTTGCTGTTTTATTTGTTACATATATCGAACCACCTTCTATCTAAACGTGCTATGGTTCCTGATATGGAACTTGGTTGGAAGAAATTTGAAGGCATGGTATCAGTACATAAAGTTATTGACTATTGGTCGAAGTCATGTAGGTTGATTCAGACTACCCAATTTGGATCCACAGGATGACCGAGATCAGTGGCTGAAGATTTTGAGTGACATGGATTAGAATCGATTGCTATGATCCTGGTGCATCAGCTCTTTATCTCCCTCTCAATATGCGATTCCAGTATTTCTTTATACACAAATTAATACCTTATTTTTTAAAACGATATTCTAAATGTTCAATATTTCTCATTATCGTTGCCATCACATTACTTCTATCTGTTCTTAAATTCTTATTATATTCATTTTGTCGTGCCAATGTGGTATAGCAGCTTGTGTCAACTCATATATTTTCTTGGTTCTATGTTGATGTTGATTGACTGACCGAATAACCCAAATAAACTCATTTTGGTGAATCGATCATAAGCTACTAATTAAACTGGTGAAGTAAAGGCAGTTCGCTAATTAGGTTACTCATATCTTGTAGATGACATCTAATATGTTGCATTTTTGTAAATAATAACTCAGTTTTTCACTTAGTTTATATTTATAGATAATGGAATGAGCAATATCCAATCAGACATGAACAACATAAAACCTAGAACATAAGTACTTCGCTTCAAGCCGCCAAACCCCATTGACGCAATGAGATGAAGTTACTAAGACAAACCCCAGAGCACTAGAAGTAGTAACATTGTCAGTAGTGGTAGAAAAGATAAGGAGTACACAATATGATTCGATAAGAAACAATGAATTCATGGGATGAAAACAATATATTTACAAAATATAGTTCTGGAATTCATCATCTGTAATTGAGCTCATCTACACCCCTGAAAGTGATTTTCGGCCATGTCACTCGACCTCTTCAACAATTGATTACGATAAATGTACAGCGCCTGACCAGTTAGTATATACCTATCAACACGACGAAGTTCAACAGTTAATGGCCTCATGGACTGATATCACGTCTCAATTTGATCAAATAATCAGTCAGTTGAAAATAACGTACAACATTAGGATACGTTAGAAACCAGCGCAATGAGTGAAAATTAACCGATTTAAGAGCTATTTACTTAAAACAAATGTAAAAATGATAATAGAACAATAAACAAAAAGAAAAGGACTCGAAAATAACAAATTAAACCGAAAAAAACATAACGTATGGAACAATATTAATAATCAACAACTAGAAAAAAGTAAAAATGAATATATCTGTGATAATGAGGTCGATTTGAAATTATGTCACTAAGAATTTCCAAATATATAGATTAAGACTGCCTTGGGGAGCCAAATCAGAAATTCTACACAAATGAATACGCTTCAGTCGAGTAGTTGATCATTCACTGTCAATACTTCTAGATTTATTGTGACCTACTCTTATCCCAACTACCACTGGATGTCGGGAAATATGACGGCTAGATATAAGTCATATATATTTCAGACGCCATGGTCGATAAAGGTTAACAGTCTTGTTTATCTACGCTTACTCTCAAGATTACCCACTGGGCGGCGGAAGGGTCATATGAGGACAATGTCCTTTGGAAATATTTATGACTGAATAATACCATCCTATATATAATTACATTTTGAATGTTATTAATGACGAAGTTTTGGCAGTTATCAACCACTTTTCTACCAATATAATTTGACGAATAATTTTATCAGTCAAAGCATCAAACGATATAAACTTAATCTCTAAGGCGTTACATTAATTTACTAGACGTTATAGATGTTTATGACTACTTCTGAATGAGCATGAACAAACAGATATTCGTATCAAGTACAAATCATATCCTCATATTGATAGTAATGTAATATTCAGTTATTTTGAACTATAATTAAACAACTGAAACAAAATTGTTTTATCGGTTTCCTTTTTGGAAGGGGGTTTCAATTTGCAGATAAAGCATACGATTATTTTTTCTAGTTTTGTTTTAAAAATGTGACAAATGTGAGAAAAATGAACAGAGAATGATCAACAGAATACAGTATATCTCTTGTTTTTACTATGAATAACATTATTATTGTTTACAATAGTTACTAACGCTGAATGATAGAAAATAAATAGGTACTAAATTATATATATATATATATATATATAAATAAACTAGTGAAGTGTGTAAGAAACACTGACAAGAAGATAATTCCCTGGAGACCATCAATGAAATTCACTGAATTATATCATCTAACATGTATACATGTGTACAGATATGCACAAACGTACATGTATGTGCATATACAATCATTTACATCTTGAAAGAGGATAATATTTAACACGAAAAAAGAAAGTTTTAGACACTTTTTTCCGTTTTCTTGGATTTCCACTTTGTTTTCTCTACTTACTTTGCTAAATACTAAAATGTACTGACTGAATATGAAAAACAATACTAGGACTAACTTTACATAACAAAGCAAACAGTGACAGTTGTAAAAAATAACTTGAAAGGAAGGATGGAAAAAAGGGAGAATGTGAACCAATAACTAAGACTTTCGTAGAAACAAGGAATGTAATCCTGACTAGTTGATATTTAAATAAATGCAGTCAGTACCAGACATTGTAACAGTTCTGTGATGATCATACCATAATGAATTATTTCATGCAAAATAAAGTTCTACACTGATATACACATATCTGACTATATTCAACTGACCACTGGTAAGATTACAAAGGCGAAATGTCATTATTTCAATGTTCACTAATCATACGTGACTATAAATGTCATTGAGCTGTATTAAGGGTTAAACTGGAATATTTTTTATAAGATGCCTAGTTTCTGAAGGGATCCAGTTATATTACCAATGCTGAATGAATGAAAGGCTTTAAAGACAATTGTACTACCACTAAGTAGAGAAATATGTGATTAGTCAGATGTTCACACCCGACCTACATTTTGATGCATGAATAGCAATGATTTCTTTTTCGTTGCATAAATCAGAATTGAGTGAAAATTCTTCTCTTCAAACCCGTCTAAACTTAGGTATAACAAGCGGTTTTGTGTAGGAAAAAGTTTTACAACTTTTGATGGAGTTTGTTCCAGTTGAGCGTTACAAATCTTTTTCTATTATCTCAGCATTATATCAAAGTAACATACTTTTCTAACTACCACTAATGAAATGCTTAATTGAATGACCGTAACTGACAGTTGAACACCATAAAAATAAAGTTTAGCGGGAAAAATCGAATATAATAAACACTAAAATAACATTTTGCTATAAAGACAGAATATCGATTTCAGTATTATTTAATAGCTTTAGCTTTTCTTGCTACATGTTTTTAAGAAGTCATCAAACTCCATGGTACGATTTTCACAACTAGGTCAATATTTTTATGTATAGAATGTTATTGATGATAAGTTCAAAACACCTAAACACCTTCGATTGTAAATAAATTTCAACACCATTACTTACTTCGAAGTCTCCAGTTACAGGGTTCATATCCAGTAAAGAATAATCAGCGTTACGATCACCATTCGCATCAATACGTACAACACCAGTAACGCCTATTTCAGTAAAAAAAAACAAAATAAAACTTAGTGACACCTTGATTGCTATGTTTAATGTATCAGAAGAAATCAACAATGCTTTTTAAAGAGTACATAAAATACAAGTCCTTTGAGTTATAATTGTTAGTTTACCGATCATAATATATGAACTATAGCTTGTATCAAACCATTCATATTCGCTAATAGTCTTTTATTATTGTATTCTCTCGGTTAAATGATTCGAGTGTAGAGCTCCTATTGTCATCCTGAAAGATGTTTCCTAACTCTCAGCCTAGTTGGATGGATGAAGAATTGGCTTGCTAACCTATTAGAGATCAGTTACACAGTTCAATAGTAAACTGTCTACAACCGATCTTAATTTAGACAACTTTAATACGATATGGTTGACAGTTCCACATATGGAGTTATACGGGCTAGGGTTAGTGAACATCGTTTTCTTGATATTATGAATTGCCCACTCGAGATGATGTCATTATAACACGCAATGTAAAATTTATATTTTAAACTATACTTACATGACTTTCATTTTAATGGTTACAACTCACCATTTCACTGAATCTTGATGTTATCGTGGTCTATATCATACGCATACATTTTCACTTATATTATCTAGTAATTTTACACATCACTCATTCAGCATTTAGACAAATCAGGATCAGCAACACGTTGATTGTTTCCTTTCATTTTCTAGTCTTATTTTATCACAATGAAGAATACAATCAAATACTTTTTAAGTGCGTTTATACGTTACACTGACTAGAAAAAATGTTCACGAAGAAGAAGAATCTATTCGAAGTAATTATGCACTCAAATTTACCTTGTTCATTTTTTTTAAATAAATCGTTTTTCATAGAAATCTTTAGAGTAAAAATGTATAAATATTTCAGGTATACATATCGTTTGATCAGTGAGAAATTCATTACAATAAATTTTTAAAGGATTATAATAACAGCAGCAAATATCGTGCAATATCAAGGATTGGTTAAAGTTAGACTAGTAAACCATTTGATCCCAGCTCAGAGGTTTAAAGGTTAAGAGTCAACGCATGAGATCGAAGGTCTTGAACTCAATTTGCAGTGGCGAGTGCGTTGACACCCACTCCTGAAGATTCCCATACTAGGGCGAAGCAGCTGTCCAGTGCCTCCTAGTTCTCAATGGTTATCTAGCTTAGAAACGTTCGTGATTTCATTATTTATTGTTTCACTAAAGAAGCACAACATTTTAATCCATTGGTAATGCTTTCTACTCAAATCACATATAACATACAATTGAATACAATGAGAAGTTCAATAATGTTAATATACCCAATTGTCAAACAATAATCTAATCAGTGTAAAAATCGTTCTCCAATATTGCATAACTGTGCAAATGTACATGTGATAAATTATAGGTCAGTAAATGGTTGTATGTTTATTAAAATATCATTGATTGTGATACGAAATAAACACGAAACTAAGGAAGAAAAAAACTTATGAAAAATGAAAAATATATCACCAACAAAGTGAATACAGTAACTGGGTATTTAAATTGAGATATGTTATACTCTCAGCAGTAAAGTGAAACTTCATGCCATAAGTAATCTAATCCTAGGAAATATGCTATTATTACTGTTATATAACTGTGCAGTTTTGAAAATGATCTAATCGTGAAGGATAAATTTTACTGAACAATTTTTTAATCCTTTATTATTTTATTTTATTCATATTGACTTGAAACCAACCTTTAAATGTTCTATTCCACATTTCTTGTGTAATCAATGTACCATTAGTGATTGTTCCACCTTTGGCTAAAGCATCATTTAAAGCTAAGGCGTACAATTTGACAGCATCATGAAATGTTCCAATGAACGGTGTTACCTTTGATAAACAAGGAGAAAAACAAAATGAACTGATAAATATAATTTGAAAATAGTATGAATCACTGATTTGTGATTAAATTTTATTAGTTGATTATTCATATTAAAGTTAGATATCTGATATGTGGATATCACCTAATAATCAGTGAAAGTTCAATACATCGACTTCTATGTTATTTCTCTTTACTTTCTTTATCACTCTGGTTTATTTTACATGTCCTTTGTTTTGTTTATCAAAATATTTATCTGTCATGTCAATTTGTATAATCATTACTAATCTATTGTGATTATTGATCATTTATTAATAATATAAACTTTGAGTGATATTTTTCGCCTAAGAAAAGAAATACACATACATACATAAACAATCAGGCTGGCTTCAGGCCTGGACGTGGCTGCATCGACCGCATATTCACCATTCATCAGGTTTTGCAACACAGACATGCATATCGGCGTTCGACAATGGTGGTCTTTCTTGACTTAAAAGCAACATTTGACTCCGAAGACCGCGAGATTCTGTGGCAGTGTCTGTCATTGAAAGATGTAGCTCAGAAGTACATAAATCTTGTGAACGCTCTTAACTCTAATACTACCAGTCGAGTAAGAGCTTATGGCGAACTGTCATCTGATTTTGCAACCTCAAGTGGCGTCCGTCAAGACTGTCCACTATCTTTATTTTTCGTTTAATTTCATCATATATCTACTAATGGAAATAACGCTCTCATCGACTGAGTTTCCAGGAATTGATCTCCTTCCAGGAGGTCCACTTATCGACTTAGAATACGCAGATGACATAGTTCTGTTTGGTGAAGACGCTGACAAAATTCAGTCTTTTGGTAGCACCGAGCAGCAATGCCAGGATGTTTGGGATGTGCTTCTCCCCTCCAAATGCACGTTGTTGCTTCAGGACTGGTCTGCATCAACACTGGAACTACGAATAGGGAGTGAAGTAGTCGAACTCGTTGACAACTTCACTTACCTAGGAAGTCTGATCAGCCCAAATGGGTTGGTGTCTGACGAAATCCCAACACGGATTCGAAAAGCTCGTTTGGCTTTTACCAACTTACGTCACCTATGGCGAAGGCGAGATATCCGTCTATCAATTAAGGGACGAGTATACTGCGCGGCAGTTCGTTCTGTTTTAATTTACGGCAGCGAAACATGGCCATTAAGAGTTGAAGATACTCGTAAGATACTAGTATTTGACCACAGATGCCTTAGAAATATTGCTCGCATCTGTTGGGATCACCGGGTAAGTAATAGTGAGGTCAGACGCAGGGTATTAGGGAATGATGGTAAATCAGTTGATGAGGTTGTGAATCTTCATCGACTGAGATGGTTGGGCCACGTGTTACGTGTGCCTAAACAGAGACTAGAACAACGCACAATGGTGACTAGTGTTGGGGATGATTGGAAGAAAGTTAGTTGCGGCCAAACCTAAATGTGGCATTAGTGCTTGAAGTCACTAACTTCTGGTTTGAGTCATGTTGATAGATGCAGACAACTTGGCTGGAGTCGGCGTGACTATCTTAACCAATGGTTGGAGACTCTGTGTGACATGACTCAGAATCGATATATACACTCTTAGTGTTCCCTTAAACCGTGAGGTTAAAATTGCTTTATACCTCTCTTTCTACAAACTAATTCTTTCTTCCTGTATTATATCACTATATGCAATCTTCCTTTTATATATTACTACCATTGAAGTAACCACTTCTATGAATTCGGTGTTCATCTTGTTGTGCTAATGAGATGTGGTAACTTGTGTCTAACTGACTAACTAATATACACACACAAAATCTGTGGAATCTTTAGTCGTAAAACACGATTAGTAAAAGTATAATGTCGGAATGAGCTTGAAAGATCTTTAAAATGGACGCGTGATTTTGTAGCCACCTTTCAGTTCATTAGCAGAGACATTGTATAAATTAGGAGTAATTCGTAAAAGAAAAGATAAATTTGCCACAGTTTAGTAGTTCAGGATTTATTATCAGTTTTTCAAATTTTTTTCTTAATTTTGTAGAAATATCTTTAAGCAACATCACTAATCTGAGTGTGAATTTGTTCACTCTGAATCTTTCTTGAAGTCATAAATAGTTTTAGAAAAAAGCTCATTATTGTCTACAGAATCTCTATTAATCGATTCGCTGAGGAGCTATGTAATTGAAATAATATGAAAACTATCATTATTGCCGTATCGATATAAAAAAATTCACGTTTAACTATCGTAACATTCCTACTTCATTAGCTCACTTTTATTCAGCGAACCATTAATAAAATGATTTCTTTGTGAATTTACTGTGCACAATACTGTTTTTCAATCTATTTAATTTGACGATAATAAAACAATATAAACAAGTGAATAAGAGGAATCCATCATATGTGCATGAGTTCTAGAAGATATATATATAAGAACGCATAGTGATCCATTTTTGATTTGATTACACATTTACAGAAGTTAGACTAAATAGGAATGAAATTCAGTCCAATAACTAAGCAACTTAAAACGAAGTAAATCAATACTCAAGATTTCATAAGAAGGTAGAGGTTGCATCGTGGATTTTTGTTTTTACTTTCAATCTATCCACAGCTTCTAATTGTTCGTTTATTCCTTTTTCGAAATATTTAACCGCTGCTTATAAGACAGTTTATTTTTGTTCAATTTTAATAGATCGTTTTATTAATTATAATTACAGGTTATTATCTCGTACAATAATGTACGTATGCAACAAGTTTTTTTATAAGTAGTAAACTGATTGAGGTGAAAACTTGTATTTCATCTTTCGATATTTGTATTGAATAACTATAATTAGAAGTTAGTTAATTACACAGTGCCGGTGGTATACTGAGTTGCCTGTTTTGAATAATTTGTGTGAAAGACATTTGAGATGTTTATAGTTTTCTACACACACACATTTTTAATGTAAATATTTATGTTGCGTTTCACCACTAAACTCGTTCATACGCTCCATCCATGAAATTAAACATTTGAAAGTAGGTTAATTTTAAGCTATTATATTTATCAAACGGTTAACAGCCTGAAACATTTTAACACTTAAACTGAATTACCTTTAAAATACTACATGTATGAGTAATTTTTAGACAAAATTGATCCCAAAAGATATGTCATCATATCAAACTTGTCAAGATAGGCGGTTCATTATCCTACGACTGGTAGAAGACAACTATCATTTTGTACCACTCTACAATTTTTTATTCTTATAAAAGAAGTTCATTTAGTGCAGGGCATCAATTGTCACTATGAATTTTGAGTTAAATTAAGACACAATAAATCTGAGGTTCTTCTCACTAAAAATGACCTTTCGTTGTACAAGTTACATTAAAGTACGATCCGAGATACAATGGTGGCTGGTAATATGCATTGGAAAGAATGAACATTAAACAAATGTTGATTCCTGATCTGCAAATATCTGACTGGTGATCACTCAACATTTATCGTCAAGATCGATCAATAAATAAGAAAAGGAAACTTGTTGAGATATTCGGTGCTGAGAATAATAATGATTTTAAAGAAGAAAACTAAGAAAGGTACGTGAATAAAAACGTATACAGAAAAAGTTAGTCTTAGAACTAATGTGCTACTGAATAAGTATAAACAGATGTTTTTCTCAAGAAAAAAAGAAAAGTCAATTCATTTATTGGGATTTTATTACATTTAAACTTATTAAGCAAATTAGACTAAAATTAATTTTACTGATGTTATTTTTATTTTAGAAAGTTGACGTAGATTTTGTGCAACTTTCAATTTTTTTTATCTATTTTCTTTTTTGGATTTTTTTTTCTTCCAAAAGTGATTTTCACTACAAACTAATATTGTTAGAGAATTTTTATTAAAAATCAAGGGAGTATTGTATGGTTAGTACTTAAGTGATGGCGTTGAAGCTCACCCTAACAAAGCAAACGGAAACAATTTTACACAGAACACTTAATTTATGAATGTACTTCAACGGTGATTGCATTTAGATGCGGTATTTATTTATTTAAAAACATAAACAGTGGTACAAGGAGGCACCAAATTGATATAAGCCACATAAATTTGGGAAATGGACGTAATCCCATCTGACTGGTCTCAATCACTGATTGTGCCAGTTTTTAAGAAAGGACAAAAGTCCTCTTGTGACAATCGCAGAGGAATCAGTTTGACTCATATAGTATCTAAAATATTAGCTTCAATAATATTTCGACGCCTAGTCAAAGCTCGTGAAGAGCAGATTAGAGAAAACCAGGCCGGTTTTCGACCTGGACGTGGTTGTATAGACCAGATATTCACACTACGTCAGGTTCTAGAACAGAGACACACATTCAGACGCTCCACAATGGTAGTATTTCTCGACCTTAAGGCGGCATTCGACTCCGTTGATCGTGAGGTTCTATGGCAGTGTTTGTCACTGAAAGGAGTACCAAAGAAGTACATTAACCTTATAAAGGCTCTCTACTCGAACACAACTGGTAGAGTGAGAGCTTATGGCGAACTGTCATCAGAATTGATCACCTCAAGTGGTGTTCGTCAGGGCTGTCCACTCTCCCCATTCTTGTTCAACTTTATCATTGACGTACTTTTAGAGATAACACTCTCCTCATCTAAATTTCCAGGGGTTGAACTCGTACCAGGAGGTTCACTTGTTGACTTAGAATATGCTGATGACATAGTTTTATTTGGTGAAGACGCTGACAAAATGCAGAGTCTTCTGACCACTCTAAGCAACAATGCAAGCATGTTCGGGATGTGATTCTCCCCCGTCGAATTGTAAAATGTTGCTTCAGGATTGGGTTGCATTGACACCCGTACTAATGATAGGGAGTGAAGTAATTGAGCGTGCCGATCGCTTCACTTATCTTGGAAGTCTCATCAGCCCTTGTGGTCTGGTGTGTGACGAAATCTCAGCACGGATACAGAAGGCTCGACCAGCCTTTACCAACTTGCGTCATTTATGGCGTAGGCGAGATATCCGTCTATCAACCAAAGGATGTGTTTACTGCTCAGCAGTTCGTTCCGTCCTACTTTATGGCAGTTAAACATGGCCGGTAAGAGTAGAGGATATTCGTTGGTTACTAGTATTTGATCATAGGTGTCTTCGAAATATTGCTCGTATATCACGGGACCACCGAGTAAGTAACGCAGTTGTTAGGAAACGGGTACTAGGTAAGGATGGCAAATCGATTGATGTAGTGGTGAAACTTCATCAGTTGAGATGGCTTGGACACGTGTTACGTATGACCAACCCCCGACTGCCTCGACGTGCGATGTTCAGTGGTATAGGAGTAGGTTGGAAGAAAGCTATGGGCGGCCAGACCAAAACATGGCACACGTCCATGAAGTCACTGACAAGTGAACTGAGTCGTGTTGGTAGGTGTAGACTACCTGGTTGGGGACCGCGAGATGAAAGCAACCGATGGTTAGAGAACTTGAATGACATGGCTCAAAATCGTTTGCAATGGCGCAGGTGCATCCACTCTTTGTGTTGTCCCAAATTCTAATCTTCTGATTTCTTCATGTCCCTTTCTTTTTTCTCTTTCCAAATTTATTTCACTGGATTATAGTCCTTGAATAACATCTTCAAACCCTAATTTTTCTGATTACAGCTTATAATCTTACTACATCTAGCACTACGGGATTTGAATCGACCACTGCATCTCTGTGCTAATATGGTGTGGCAACTCGAACTGATGTACGTACGTACGAAGTTCTACGTTGTTACTGACTAACTGACTGACATTTGATTTGTGTGAGGGCTAGCATGTTGCGCGGGTGCCTAAACTGAATCAGGTGGGTTTATTTAGGGGGCTACACCCAGAGCCTTTGACCTAAAGGTCTAATCCACAAATCAGTGGAGCAACGTAAGGAAATGCAGTCTCATGGTAGCCGGTGATGAACAATTGGTTCTAACGCCATTTGTTTCCTTAGGATCCTGGATCCCATGTACACCATTGGGTTGGAATCATGGTTTTCCAACTTCCCCATCTTCACCAACCCGGTTAAAGCGCTGGACATTCGCTTTTCGTCCTCTCAATTTCGTAAACAACACCCCCGCCACAAGAAGGCAGTGAGTAGGACTTCCATGGCAGTGGTTGCATGCACGTGGTTATATGAGAGCATTTCGAGAGGGAGAGTTGACTCCTCCCACTCTCGAAAGTACCAGGGCATTTATGGGCATTGGAAGGGTGATCCTCACATATTTCTATCATATAATTCAGTTTGAGACTTAATAGGGAAGAAATAAATTATAAGTGTGTAGAAAAAGTGTTTATGATATAAAGAATTATTTTAAGCCAATCTTTCAACAATCATATACGGCAGGCAATTTATTTGATTGCATTTTACAGTTGATTGAACACTAAGTAGTGACCATTGTCATGTGTATTTCAAGTACTTTTTAGTACTGATCGAATATAATTGAACTAATATTCGTTATGGGATCCTATATAACAACTAGCATTGATAATCCTACACTGGGAGCGCACGACTGAATCTAAGCTGCGTATTTTAAAATCAATAGAAAAGTCTGAAACACTACAATTAGTCCAACAAAAATACGTTGAACATACACGTTAATGTATTATAAGCAATCTTAACAAATTTATTTAACTTTTCTTGTGTTTCACAAATATATAGATGATACACATTTCAAAATGTAATGTGTGTATATATGGGTTAAAACGAGAAATTTTCAAATAAACTCTCGTTCAACCTACCTCAGAATCTCGATAACTAAATTCATAATCACGTAAAGCTCTTGCTCTCACTTCTTCTGTAAATGTTCGATATTCAGGACTGTCAGGTTTCAAAAGTGTTACAGTCATAAGAGCACGATAAGCTTGACGTGCTCTTTCGTTTTCTTCTGGACTGGATGTTTCTTTATACCAAGGTCTTTTCAATTTTGTTTGACTGAAAACAACGAGAAAAAATATATATATTGGTGATGGACTAATTAATTAATTAACTAAACAGACATTAAAAAGGAAGAAGGTATTTGTAAAATCTCAGTAAATGGATTTACTTTATTCCCACATCAACTCGGCGTGCAAATACTGTGAAACTATTCAATCAAATATAGACGAAAGTTCTTATAAATTTAACAGTTAAAACATTTAGCAAACCATATGATAAAAAATATTCATTTTGATGATAATTATCAGTGAGAACACGTTAGACTAAATAAATACGCTTAAAATAATGTAAATTCTATGTTAAAAATGAAGAAAGAAAATAGTCGATCTTACTGTCAAAGTTCAACTTAATTTGTAAAGACAAATAATATGTCACAGAATATGTTCGTCTTTTTCCCTAAGTATTGTTTTTGCGGAACAGCGATGAAATATTTTTACCTTCATTTTATCCGCTATTATGATATGTTTGACAAGAGTTTAGCTATATTATGCATCACAGTACAGTAACCGCGGTACTTACAGATAACCAAATAAACCAATTTTTACTGTTAATAAAAACTTAATCTATCCTAAATTGATGTTTAAATATTAAAAACATCAACTAATGGAGTAAGAATAAATCTTAAAAGAATCAATAAAAAAGATTGAGAAAAGATGTGATATGAAATAAAAATTACTCATGAGTAATATACTCAGATAACATCACAAATGTCATAGTTCTGTTAAAATTGTATTCACCATTAGGCAAGACCACTAGTGATTTATATTACATTACACAATATTAAGTAATAAGGCAAAGTATATCATTATTATTCAACAACAAGTGTTATTAAAAGTATTCCATAGAGATCCGCTCAGTTGTATAAAAGTATGCGTAGTTGTCAGGGGTGATAGCCTCAATAATATCCTACACTACTGCCAATAGTTAACTTTTCTGATAAATATTTTGGTAAAAACGGTTACTTATCATATATTTCCAAGAGAATGTTCCCTTTTTCGGACACGCTCTGATAGACAGTCTTGTAGCGCAGAGACGCTGACAAAACGAGGATATCGGAAAATATTCGAATTCTTCACACATACCATGTATAAAATGTCGCTTCCAGACCGATCTCCATTGAGATCTTCTTTAAGAAACTAAAGCGATACGTTCATATGCATTGAACAGTCTGGTTTTTATAATGTATCATTCCTGATAAACCAGTCGACTGTGAAATTTCGATAGGGAGAAGGAATGCTCCTTGGGAACTCACGCGCCTATACAATCTATAATCCAATCAATAGATCTATTTATGAACACTAAGTTTAATCCACAGATATTATTTACATTTTATGATATGAAATAACCACAATACTGGGGAAGAATCTATATTTCATCTTGATCTTGAGTTTATTCTATTAGATTAAAAATACATTTTTAATCTCTACGCATAATTTTCATAATGGTTATCAATCTTTTTCTCTCAAGCATATTTGTAATAAAATTTGAAATGGAAACTAATATGATTTGTATGAAACACAAAACATTGTCATATATCTATTTATTTATTACATTTTATGAAAAGGATATTGTTTGTTCTATGATTTAGAACTGAACAAACAGGTGAGTAATGGTATTTCAATGGAATCTCATTGTAACAACTCAGTTTACCAAAAGACGACTTAATGCTATTAAAGTGTAAATGTGGAAAATAAACGGTAATTTAATTTTTACTGAATTTTGTCCATTTGCTTTATTCATGAAATTAAAGTTAGAAGTGTGTGTGTGTGTCATAAAAATAGATCAATCTAATAGTTATTATTTAGATAAAGCAAAGAAAACATCCACTGATTAACTGTTTGAAAAGGGAAAACGACAAAAACACTTAACTACCAAACATTAAGTGAAATTAATTAATTATTTATTTTTTTTCTTTTTAATGAATAATAGCAAGTGATGTAAACAACGAATCATTTATTCATTTAAACAAAATTCTAATATGATATGATAAATAAATAAATTATTTACTACAAATAATAATCAATGAAAAATATATCACATTATCAATTAAAATAGGTTAATTTGATTAAAGGACTTAATCAATTATCTAATCAACTTTAAAACAAAATCACTATTCATACAATTAATTTATATCAATAATTCAAGGATCATTTGATTAGAAAATATGCCGTTATTACTACTCTTACTATTATTATTATTATTATTAATATTATTATTATTATTATTACTATTATTATTATGAATAGACCTAGACTTTTCAATACATACCATGTTGTAAAGAAAAATCAAATATGTAATAAATAATTAGATTGAAAATGGCCCACACTAAATGAATGAATAACATATTGAATATCACAGAATAGATATATAATTATAATAATTATCATTATTCCCAGCGTCAAAGTTTAATTTACTTGTATTTCATTAAATGCAATCTTAATTAAATCATTAATTTCCGGAAAACAATTGTATTTATAAATTTACGTGTACCTGCCAAAGCAGCTACATTGGCCGAACAGAAAGGAGGGCATATCTCAGATTTTTTGAACATGTTCCAAAAAGCCTCAGAACAAGAGAAAGAAAGACTCTAAATAGTGCAATCACCAAACATCTTCTTGATACAGGACATCAGGTCGATACCCTACAATCATTCAAGGTGATTAGTAAGCAGCCAAACTCCAGTCTTCTGAAATTTGCTGAAGCAGTTGCTATCAGGCGCCAAAAGCCTGATTTATGTGTTCAAAAGGAGATGGTTATTAATCTTTCCTTGCCTTGGTGATTAATATTCCTTCATTATATCTTAATAATTTTTTTTTCTTTTTCTTTAAACTCTTTCTTGCGTTTATTACACCATTGAGTTTTATTCCAACTATCTTATTTTATCAACTGAACTCTACTCATTTTATTCCTATCAAGGTTTATTTGTTTCTAACCCTTTGAACTGTTGTCACAATGTTCTTTCATCACATAAGGTATATATTTACAATATTCAGTCTATTAAATTTATTTACACCCTTGCTATACTATATGAATATGTCTTTAATGTAACTTCCAATCAAACTTTTATGTAAGTAATTTAAACCCATTAATTATGATTTTAAATATCACAGGTTGTAAGCAGCTGACGAGAACCAACGAAATAAAAATGAATTCATGCTATTCTGCTAGAATGTTTGATCTTGCTCTTTTCAAAATGATAAAAGGAACTGTGTGTATATAATAGAGACAGTTGTACAACTGGAAAAAGAAAAAACAACTATGGTTCACAATATAAAAAAATGCCCAAAGAAAATATTGTTCCATTTTACATAATAATCTTTGTTATTAGCAATATTAACCTCAACATATAATTACTGGGGTTTAGTTGAAAAGTTACATTAAAAGTTATATTGATTGCTAAAAATATTTACATGCGTGTGTATGTTTGCTTATCTACTACAACCAATCTAGCAAACCATATACCAACTCTTTACTTAAGTGAATGATAAAATGAGAGAAAAAAATCAACCAGAAAACACGACCCACTCTCATCTTGTTAATGTATTGCAATGAGAATAGAAGGAAGCAACTTATGCCACATCCTACCTACTTTCGTTTAATACATATAACTAAATGTATTTTCTAGTATGAGAATAGACAAAACAAAAATTCTAATCAATAAAACAAACCAACTAACTATAATAACAATAAATTGTTGTTATTATTATTATTATTATCATTATCAACTGCATGCAAAAACAAATGCCTTCAGGATGAATCAATCAAATAATCGATAATATCTTGTCATGAATGAAAAAAAAACAATTGATTATATTATTTAACAAAGCCTTATTAATGTCGATGAAATGTAAACAATTAAAAGAGTTTATGTACATTTGTTTATCTGTCGTTTTATCTGTTTGCTTATGTGTGCTTGTGAGTTAATGCCTGTGTGAGTATGTGTTATTTGAAATAAGCTTGATATCTTATTTGTTGTAAGCATAGTAAATAAAATAAAAGAGAAGCACAACAATAAATAATAAGTAATGATAATGTCAATACCAATATATCAGTGAAATTATAGAAAATGAATTCGGATAATAATAATAATAATAATAATAATAATAATAATAATAATAATAATAATAATAATAATGGTATTGCATTGATGAATAGTCCTACCTTTCTCTAAAATACATTAGTTATTATTATCACTGTGCAGAATAACGAGGGGAATTTTAAAACTAGAGTGAATATTATCTAAGTTGAATACCACCTGATTTTTTATTGGTTCTGCTTAGTTAACAACCATTTAGTCCATGATGAACATTACTGGTTTGATCGAAAAAAAGATATAACATATAGGTGAAAGAAAATAATGATTCACATATTTGTGATCTATCATTATTTACTAAGTTATTAACTGCAAATAGAGTCTAAATTCAACTTATACACACATACAGAGAGAAAGAGAAAAAATAGTTTCTAGTGAGGTTTTTTGTAAAATAACCCTTTCAAACTTCTAAATTATACTACTTTCCAGTTGTCAAAATATTGCAGTAAATTCCACCGCTTTTGATTTAATTCAACTTAGTTATTGTACATATTTTTATAGAATGCTTTCAACATATCGGGAAAGTAATTGCCGAAAATTCAAGTGTAACCGACAACACAGTAGTCGGTATATTTCTCATCTTATTTATTCTCCAGACAAACAAGAGGTAATTAGACTATTTATTTATCGAATATTTTATACGATGGAAAGAGAATTGTTATAGGATATGAAATTGATACAAAAAATTTATACATAAAGATGATGAATTTTGACATTTTATCTTAATCTTCACGAGTTAAATAAATGTATAAGACGAGAATACGATTGAATATTTCACAATTGTCTTTTGAATGAACATTCTTTATTGTATTCTAATCAAACATAGGGTAGTATTGACCGTGTAGATGGTTACAGGTTGCAGATAAGATTTCCTGAAAAACATTGCTCTATATTTTTACTGAGCCCCCAAATTCCTTGGTACGATCGAGGGCGATGAGAGTCTGCCGTCCCTCTTGAAATGCTCTTACGTGGTCACGCGTATACAACCACTGCTAGCGAAGGCCTACTCACTGCCTTCTCACAACGAGGGTATCGTTAACAAAATTAAGAGGACAAAAAGCGAATGTTTGGCGCTCTAACCGGATTGGTGAATATGGAGGATCCACCTAGGGGATTCGGAAAACCCTGATTCCAAACCAATGGTGTACATGGGATCCAGGATCCTAAGGAAACGAACAGCGTATGAACCAGTCGTTGGTCATTGGCTACCATGGGACTGCACCTCCTTATACTGCTCCACTGCTTTGTGGATTAGAGCTTTAGGTCAAAGGCTTCGGGTGTAGCCCCCCAAGGAAACCACGTGCTCCAGTTTGGGTACCCGGGCAGTATCCTGGACCTCTCACAAATTGAATGATTTGTGTGGCCCATATGTATTTGGTGCCTCCTTGTACCAATGTTTATGTGTTTAAATAAATAAATATTCCTATAAAATATTTTATACATTTTGACACTAGAAGTATCAAATGATAGACAATTAAAATCAAATTACATTTTACAACACTAACTGAATTAATCATAATATTTAGGGTACTCTTTTTTACATTAATTATTTATTGTAAAATGATAATTGTTGGTTTATAACTGTAAACAACGAAAATGGAAATTACTGAGAACTACTGTTCTTCTAAATATTATCGAGTTATATAGCTGAAGTAAAGTAATAATCATCACCCTGTTGCTCGGAAATAATGCAACATACTACTAACGAAAAACATATAAACACAGATAATCAGGTGAAGTTGAACAATCCAAATATCAATGGATAGTTCAGCTATAGAAAGGATTTTTAATTGTGAGTAACGACTATCAGTTAGCGTTCGATAAAATAAATTGAACAAGTCAACACAGTCATTCCAAAACAATAACACTCATTTTCATAGCAAGAATTAAAAAAGTGATAACATTCCTATGATATTTTAACCAGTTTAATTAGTTGCTTTTAATATTTCCAAATTTAAGAAAAGGAACCATTATAGTGACATTTTCTCTCTAATAATTCAGAAATAAAATAAATGAATGGACTGATCCTTAAAAAACTATGCTAACGATTAATTTCATTAAATATATTAATATAAAAGAAATAAACAATTTTTCCTCTACCAAACTGACATTAATTAGAAAACCATCGAAAAAAACTAGTGATAATGAATGGAATCTGTATTCTATCTATTCTAAAATCTAATCTATCGACCCCTTTCAAAAAACCGAAAATGTAAAGTTATTGATGAACACTAAAAGAGTACAATATCAAATAATGCAAATCTAGTCAATTTTGTAATGTAACTGCTAAAACTGTTACTTCATGACTCATTTTAAAATGGGGCGAATTTTCTAAAAAAGTAGAGTAAAATACTATCACTACATGTGAATGAAATAGTAGGAATAAACACATACGATTTATTATAATATCACTGTTCGATTGTGACACAATAATGGTAAGATCTCAATATCCTTAATTTTATTACCATAATGATTCAAGATGGTTATTTAAAGAAAAATAGTCAAGAAATAGTATGAAATATCTACCTAATGTTTAGAAAGTTCTTTTTAGTCACCTCATTTGATAATAATTATTGTCCTATGCTAGTTTGTTTGATCTATTGAATATATTTATACAACAAACATGATATTGTCTAAATAAACAATGGTAGATTAGTATTTAATTTATTGTGAAAACAACTGTATGTAAATAAATTTAAGAGAAATGTACACACCTGCTTAAAAGATCCATGTTGAAAAATGCATAATCTCCATTAACCATATTTAATTTATGTGCTTCCAACATAATATCCCGTACAACTTCTGGATCTGTGCATAGTATTATAACTGTAAGAAGAAAGAAATGAGGAAAATGAACAAATTATTATTTGTGAATTAAGATAGCCAAATATAACATTTGTCATGTTGCACTCTGTATACAATCCGATTTTTTCTAACTTCATGTTTTACGAAAACAAAACAAGCATTTAATCAGTCTTTCCAGTTAATGGACATTTACTTTATGACCACATTACTTATGGCATATAATTTCAAAGTTCTAGATATATATCGAGTACTTTCATGAGATATTAAAAGTACTTTAATGAAACCAATGATTAATTGAATTTTTAAACCGGTTCGGTATTTTCTTACGTACTTTTACTTCTCTTATTTCACCTACTATATACTACATTGAAGCAAGTAGGTTCAAGTACACTAATTAGCTAAATCTTAACTTACTAAACTCCAACACAGAATATTTGATTATTAATTGTTCGAAGTACCTTTTTTAAAGAAAACAATATCAGAGATTCTTTCACTCGATTCAACTAGTAAACCTTATATATATATATATATATATATATATATTCAGCAAATCTTGTTTTTTTCACTTTATTTAAATTTATCAACCGATCAGGGTACATGAAATATGGAAGAGCTATCATACGAAAACTCTCTACACAATCGACTTATCGGATCATGTGGATGTTCGGCGAAATGTGGATCACACCAAAAAGTTTTATATATAGTAGAATAGTTATTTATTCCATAAAATAATAGGCCATTGGTTAACACCAGAATATCTGAGTAATGAGATGGTTGAGTATCCTTGTAGGGTTGTTTAACTTTACTATATCGATCATTAACGTACTCAAAAGACTTATCTTAAATCGACAACAAATTATCTCCAAAATTATTTTACCCATATAGGATCAATTGGTTTAACCATGCTATTTTTTTCTAATTACAGATAATTATATGAACCTTGTACATGAAATGAAATTACCTAATACTATCTTTTATTGTCTTCGCGTTTTCTAGCAGAAAACATTAGATCCTAAATCCTGCGTTCTATAGCCACCAAGAATTGAAAAATCATTTGCTGATCTAAGTATGGTGCGCTAGTCTCACTGGACCACTCCGCCTGCATTAATATTAATTCAATAAACTCGGATCCCTTCTGTAAATTAGATGCGTTCCCCGTTGATCAATGCATTACATATTCTAAACAGTAACAATAGCCCTCAGTTAATATCGAACTCGAAAGGGTTGTATATCACCAGGCCAATGTGACGTCTTTCATCTTAAACGTAAATGACATGGTATTTGTTCCGCGTTATCAGCTTGTTTAGGTTTTTCTACACCAAGTATTAAAAACAACTCTATGCTTACAAAATAGATGAGTTCCATAAATAACGTATTTCAAAAACAATAATTCACTCTAAGATATATTCACCTCTGAATACGCAATTTGGTTGAATTTGGTTGGTTATTAACATTAGATCTTCACAAATAATTTATCCTTATTTTTTTATTAACTGTTCCCTCCCTATTTATATGAACTTGATCATATTTATCGATTGATGTGGTTTCGGTGATTGTCATTCGAACATATGTATACAAATTGAATGAGTTAATTAAGTTAGAAACTCTAGATAATTTTGCTGAGTTATCTATAGTTTCTGAGTAGTAAAATGTCATGATAAAGTTTTACTTCATTTACTTCTATATTCCGATGATAATCTAATGCATATAAGGTTTACTAATTATTTTATAAAAGAGGTTCTCAAACTTATTTTTTTAATTTAACAGGGAATAATAATAATGATAATTAAATTCTCTCAAGTGAAACTTAAATAGTTGACAGCGACTGCTTTTAAATCTAAATAAAAATAAATGAGGTAAAACTAAAATAATGATTAAGATAATCATGATAATACCGATAATAATGACTAGATATAATATGTCAGTATAACAAATATACATAGGTTTTCAGTTGTCTTCAGTATCTATTATAAAATGACACAAGCAAACACAAGCAAGAAGGATAATCTTAATTAACTAAAACAAACATATACGTATGACTGACTGATTTACCAATTAGTTAGTTGATTAGGTGACCTATTGTTAAAGTGGAAAGATAAGTAAATTGTGATGATAACAGGGGACAAGAAGAAAAAGTATGATATGCTCTCTGTTCATGGTGATTAGCTTAATGTCATTTAGAAAAATATTTCATGTATTTATTATTTCCTTAAATAAATGTAGGGAACTGAAAACAAAATAGTTATCAAGTTCTGAATTATAATTTTCTTTAAATATGTTATGAATATTTTTACACAGAAAACTAGGGCAAGCATACATCCAGTTGAGTTTTTAAAAAGAAGTGGAAAGTATTTCAAGGTATTTGAATTTTTCATTAGATAAGAATTAATTGATTACAGAGCCTAGTAATATACGCTTTCTTGCACATTTGATATAACCTCATTTTAAATATAATTACATTCTTGCCAAGAACATACAGAACTGAATAAGAAATAATCAGATGGTAAGCGCAGTAATATTCCCGATATTAAAATAAATCTATGTATTAGAGGATTATTTAATTCAAATTAGGAATAAAGGAAATAAACACATGGGAGAAATGCTTATGTCAAACTATTTAATATGTATATTACCCATTCTTGTGCGAATTATCTACCACAAGAGTTGAAAGATCATCATGTAGTACAGCGAACTGATTAAAGTTAGATACCCTAACCATTCTGTAGGCTAGAAACGAAAAGTTCTGAGTTCAATCCACGGTACGGTCGTGGATGCATACCACTAAGAATTTCCATACAAGGACGAAACAGCTGTTCACTCCTTCTTGGTGTTTAATAGTTGCTTAACTATGATCAGTTTGTGATACAAACTATGACGATTCCTAAATTCACTAGCTTACGAGGAAAACATCTCAAAAAATCCCTCGCTGATAACAAAAACTAAAATGGATGAGTGAAAAACTGAAGCCGTGAAAAGATCTTATATATATATATATATATATATATATATATATATATATATATATATATATATATATATATATATATATATATATATATTGGTTTATGAAGTTAAGAATACGTAATAAACAAGATATGGGTTTTTCTGTTCTCTGAATTCGCACTTAAATTTAACGTTTAGAAAACAATCAACTTAAAACGACTATTGGCATCTACCACTTGTATAAAAGGCATATGGATGATGCTTTCACCATTTGCGACAATAAATATGATTTAAAATCATCTACAGACATCTAATAACTGTCACCTGTAATAAAACTTCATACAAGAAGTTGAAAACAATGTATTCAGTTTCTCGATGTAAAAATGGCAAGAAAACACTATGAAAATTTGAGATCTGGCTACAGAAGACCCTCGTAGAATGACCAGCTGTCAAGCTTCCACAGCTAGATCCTCATAAGTTGATAGCGAAACTTAATTATATCCCTCACTACGTGGATATGAAGAATCTTTAGTCCCGAAGTTTCAGTTAACGAACTGAATCTCTTCAAGAAAATACTAATCAAAAACATGTGTCCACTGGTATTTATTGATAAGAACTCAAAACTTAAACCTCCTGAAGAACAAATAACCTCCGTACCAAAAACTTTCTCTATATGGATGTCGATTTCAAGGGTGATAAAGCTGCAGACATCCTGAATAGAACAATTTTCGACTCCCTTAATAGGACGTTCTTCGCAGCAACTTTGCGATTAGGGTTCTCCAGCTGATCAATGTTTATTCATAATATAAAGGATAAAACCTCTCATTAGACATATTCCACGTCCATCTATCTCCCAAAGGTAGTGAGCTTTTGTCTTCCTAGGATTGTCAAAGCATTTGCAAAAAATTTGAAAAAATCGGGATTATGTGCCCAAAAGAAACGTGTACAATGTTTTCTATTACTATGGTCTTAATCTCGTGTGATTCTCTTTTCTTCTTTCACGCTCATCTGCTACCCACCTCATTATTCCCCATAGACTTTTGACCCACAAACTGCTTTGTTTCTGTTTCTATGATTCTCCTGATTACATTTCATCGCGATTCAAGCATTTATCACACTGAATATTCTCTTTTTAATTATAATCCTCAATCTATCTTCATGATAAATATTCAAGATCTCGACGACAAAAACAACGGTATCAGTTTCTCTTAGTAACAATATTGTTTATATGCCTTTATTTATTTTAAATCACTGTTACTATGTTTAGCAAAATTTTAATTATCACTATTACTATCATTATTATCCTTTTGAAGAATAAGCTTCGAAAATGAATTTGCTGAACCAACCATTAAAAAAAACCCATCCAACTCTTATATACATGTATTCGGAATTCAGTGCAGAAAAATGACATAAGTGTCAAATATCAGACAAAAACAATAGTCAGTAAAAAAACATTTATGTAGTTTTATTTTCAAATGAAACATTATCTTTACGAACCCACTAAAATTATTTTATTATTTACAAATTATAATAACAATTTAATAGTAAAGATTGAATTATCATTATATTTTCTTTTAAATACAATAGTATTTTAACGTTTATTCCTTATATTATTCTGTTTATTTGATATAAAGGCTAACTATAATGTTATCTATTTAAACTTAACTGATCTAACAGAATTTATATTGACATATACATATACATAAACAACAAGCGAACAGTGTTTTAATTAACTTAGCACTGTCAATCATGTATTACTTGTTTTTCTTTGAAAAAAATTTTTTGGGGTTTGTAAAATTATTATTACTTTTATTATTATTATTATTATTATTATTATTATTATTATTATTAGTAGTAGTAGTAGTAGTAGTAGTAGTAATTAATAATAGTAGCATTAATACCATAAGTATTGTTGTTCATTTTAAACCAATTGAAATGTACTTATAGATTAAATAAAAATCAACCAATTAGAATAAAGCACAGTCTATCGATCTGACAGTATTATTTGTGATAAGAGATAAATCAATAAGAACACCAGTGATGATAATAATAATAATAATAATGATAATAATAATAAT